AATCAAGAAAAGCCGAAAAGCTTTAAGATATTCCGATGAACTGCAGTATTTTCTTGAGGCTGAAGAACATGACAAGTCTGGCGCAAGCAAACGTGCGGTGGCCCTTGCGCCCTAGGCCCTGGCGTTGCAGGAAAGGAATTGGTGATGTCGGAAGCGTAGCAGTAGTACTCGCAGCCCATGTCACAAAGAACGATGTCGCCGTCCTCCGAACGAGCAATCAAGCAGTTCCCGGTTTGTATGTTTTGTCGGCAGAGCTGCCGTGCGTGCTCGGCTGAATAAACAAAGCAAAAGTAGAAGAAGTGCCTTTGGGTGCCCAGTTCCTTTCTTGCATCGAGATGGCTTGAGTACTGCACTCATGAGCACTAAGTCACTAGAGCCAGCCTCCGCGACTACCATGTTCCAAAACTACTGGTCTATTTGTATACACATTAGTGTGTGTGTGTGTAGTTGCTGGAGGCCCTCGCTGTCCCACACGCATGGCATCCGAGCGATCCTCCAGCCTTCGATCATTGGGGGCACCAGCATGACCTGCCAATTCAAACCGCCTCCAATGTTCAACGCTGCCACAATGGATGAGGCAACCAAAACGGTGAAAACAGTGAGGCGCTGGCCATAGTGCAAAACCTCGATAGCCAGAGCTTCGAACACACACACAGCCACACAGCCACTGGGACAACCGTGAGCTCGTACTGAGCAGAGAGCTGCCGAGTTCGGGCCCGAGCCCGCAATCGGAGTGTAGGACAGCAAGCGGCAACCTGCCGTCAGGAATCGTCAGGCCACACGCTGGCAGTTCAGGGCGTGCAGAAACTATGCCATTCACAGTCCAACCAACATTGCAACACCAGCAGAAATGGCCTCCGTTGTAGTGGCACGAGTAGGCAAAGGTGCTTTCCAGCTGGTACCTACGGTGCGAATGTAGCAACCACAACAACTATAAGCAAGCAGCAAGCAAATATCAGAAGAGAACCCACATACGTACGTGAACTAAATGCATGTGCATACGCATAGCGATGCAGACTCACAGAGTCACCGAGACACAAACACAAACCCACCTCACCAACCCACGCACACCCACCCTGTCTCCCTCCCGCCCTCTACGTACGTATGCATGCAAGTTCGGGCATCTCAGCCGTCTCTCTGAGGAAGCGGCTCCATCAGCCCTGGCCGTGCTTGCCGCATCATTCCCTGGGCGTGCAAACAGGCCCAGCAGATGCAATAATCACAGCGAGAGTTCCACCAGCAAATCACACTGAGCTCTGGCAATGGAGCTGCCAATGCAACAAGCGTCTCTCAATCGGCTTGGGTAGCTGGCGATGTGTGCATCTGCAGAAATCCGGTTCACATACCGGAGAAGCCTGCGCACTGCATCTCCCAACGCGTGGTGGATGGTGACGCTGCACGGTCAAGAACCAAGAACATTCCATGTAAGAAGGGAAGTAATAGCGCACCAATTGCGCACCCCTTCTGCAACTGCAAGCGCGCTATTTCATCTGGCTGTGGTATTTTTGGCTTCATACTTAATTACCATTTTCCAACCCGCAACATGCTACACCCGACGTGGCCCCGGCTCCAAATCGACGCAACATGCTTGAGAACACATCTTGCGCTTGGATCTCAAATAAGAATACATAAAGCCGAATCTCACTGTGGCGGATGGCTCGTGCACAGCGCTCCTCAACTCCTCCTCGTTCTTTCGAGCCTGGGCGCGCAGTCAGGCGTAGTCTGACGTATAGGCTGGCAAGAATCAAGACAGGTTTCTTGGGCTTGTCATGGCTCGTCCTTCTGCTGAGTTGGTTCCCATTTGCCAATGGAAACATGTCCAGATGTTATGATCCGTTTCAGAAACTCTCTTCGGGCATCTCCAGGCTGCTGACACGTGTCTCGTAAACGACCTTAGCATAGCTGCAGGGCGTGCCCCTACGCCCGCCTTGCTGTTTGAGCTTTCCTGGCCTGCAAGATTGTTAAACACCCCGCACCTTCCGGTCTGCACGCTTCAGATGGCAGTTGACCGCAGTTGACACAAGAATGTTTCATCCAAGTCACCTCACAGATTTGTGGCAGCAGTTCACTTTCTAAAAGTAGTCACACTTGGGAAAGGTGTCGCTGGCTGACTGTGCACAAAGCCGAGCTTGCAACACATCTGGCAACATGGCAACATGATCCAAACAATCGAACGCGTGACCCACGGCTGGCCACAACAGGGATCAGCCAATTCCAGTCTCAGCGCAACACGGGGTGAAGCAGTTCTTCGTCTACATCATAGTTGCTGAGGCCATCGAAGCTGGCAGGTGCCACCTGGCAAGGGCAACGATCGAGTCTACACGCTTGGATTAATGGCGCCTCCGCCCGCCCGGTTTCTGGAGCTCATGCCCCGACAGAACACAATGCTGAATGCAGGGATCATGTGAGCGTTGGTGTTTATTCCCTGAACACTTGATTGGACAGTATTCAAACTTCAGCGGACCCTTCCGCATCCTTGCCGCTGGCCAAGAGGTCCCTTCCGCGGACTTGCGCGGCACATGTTTTTCAGCGTTTGATTCCTCAAACCTTCCGCGCATGTTTTATAAGATTTGCCTCCACAAGTATTGGCGCAGAAAGGGAATTCAGCTTAAGTAAGCAAGGAAAGTAATGTTCCATCCGTGTTGGTGCAGCCTTGGTAAGCTTGGGCCACCCTTCCGCAGAGCTTCCGCGCACCCTCCGCCTGCTGCTTTGGGTGTTCTTGGATTGCTGTTGACAACTGTTCTTCTACTAAGAATTGCGTTTCTTGTAGGCAGCAACACCTTTCTGCTTCTTCTGTAATTGTTTCTCCGTGCTTTTCCACGCGCACAAACGGAAGCAATTAATATCAAACCACAAAGCTTCCGCAAAGCTTCCGAAAAAGAATCGCTTCCGTGAAGTCCTCCGCATGCTTCCGCGCGCGTGGCACGGCGCACGTTCAACAATAACGTCCCTCTCCCTACTAAATGAGCTCGCGGCAACAAAAACACCGTTCATGTGAGAAGCGAACCTGGCCTCTAAAAAGAAATGTGCACGCACGCACCACGCAGAGCATCACATGCTAGGCATGTGAACGCAGTCTGTTCCCCTATGCCGTACCTTTCCACAAAGTTTGGCCTTGAGTCAAAGCTTTGCCAAACAGTTCATTATGAATTCGATTTTGGGTTCGGCAGTCTGCTGAAACCAGCACTGTTTTTTGTCCAAGTATGAGCAATATTGCACAACGCCAGGAAACAACAGGAACCTCCAATAAGAAAGAGACAGTCAAATCCCTAATTCCTGATTGGCGTAAACATAATATAGCAGCATTTGAGAAGCTGGCAGCAAAACAAGTAGAACAACCAAACAACAAAACAAGCCAGTCAGAAGAAACTAGCCAAGCTGATTTAAGCAAACAACCACAACATAGACCACTAGTTCGATGTGCACAAATAAAGTTGCCGCCTGGTGGGTCCCCGCCGGGTCCCCGCCTCGCTGCCGCTATCTGAATTTCTGCCTCGCTGGATGTAGACTTTTGTTGGTGCCCGGCCTCAGGTGTCAAATGCGCAATAGGGCTCGAGGACCTGTCAAGGGTGATGTCAAGAACTGGTCCACGATGTCGAGTCAAATCTAGAGTCTGTATGGCCTCTCTGTTGTTGTCAACAGGCGAGTTGGGCTCCAACGCTGGAACCAGGCCGCGATCTCGTCAACGTAAACCTCAACAGGCGCAACGTGTGATGAAGCTGTGAGGTAGCTTGATCTGCTGGTAGTCCAAAACTCCGAACCCAAAGGAGGCACCTAGCTGTTTGACGCCATCCAGGGCTTGTCTATTGTTTGCCCAACTTCCTTCGTCTTTGGCTCGCGCCACTTCATCCACACCGTAGTGCTCCTGTAAGGTGTCCACGTCTGCGATCTTGCCTCAAGCCGCTTGGCTTAGCTGGCGCTTCAACAACAAGGAGCTGCCTATGAGCCCCGAGTTGTCCTCTATTCTCCCCCACGGATTTCCAAACAGCGCCAAACATGCTGAGCCCGCGGCCCATCCAAAGTTCGTACCTCTTCGGTGAAATTTGAGATTAACTTGAACTTTTGGCCTGCTACCCGTTGACAAGCGGCATCCCCTGTTCTCCCAAGGCTCTTCTCTGGCCATTCCCTGAGGGCACTCTGCCGGAAGTCGCGGAGCGAAAAGCGTGGCACTCCCGGACCTGCAGAAATCAATTGCAGGTTTCAACATAGGCAATTGCCACCCCCGGAAATGACAATCCAATGGCATTCAACCCAAGTTTTGAAGGCCAACTTATCGCTTCTTTGTGAACTTGTTCCTAAGCCCCCGAAAGAACAACTTCCAGCCTGGTCTAACAAGGGCGTCAGCAACAAACAAAAAGATTGAGGCGCCGGCTCCAGGTCCAAGGTGCCTGGCAGTGAGGGAGATTCCCCGGGCTTGCCAGAGCGGAGTTCTTGTAGGCCAGGTGACCAGCGGGGTGCAGAAACTAGGTCGGTTGGCCAAACCAAACATCCAGTTTTCACCAAAGCAAATCAAAATGAGTGCCCTGAGTTGATGCAAGTCCCAATGGTTCAGCCGCTGGTGGCTGGAAAGCTCTGCAGCCGGCACCTCAAGTCAATCTGAAACATGTCCGAGGCGCCCATGTAGCCAGGCTCTCGCACCTGGCACAGCCACGATCTCGCACCCTGCTTCTAACTTCCACAGGTTCTCAGCTCATTGCCCGCCCCGAAAGGAGAGGCATCGATTTGTGGCAAACAAAACTGTGCTCTGGCGGTTCTGGCGGCCTGCCAAAAGAACTCAGGCCCTGACGCCGAAGAGATAGTGGAACGTGCTCTCTTGCCGAAAAAGGTCCTGCCCATGGCTGATTCGAAGAAAACAAATACGGAACGTAATTGTATGTATTGTATACATGTATTATATATATATATGAATATGTATATATGTATGGATATATATATATATGTGTGTGTGTGTGTGATATGACCGAGGCCTGATTTGATCATGATTGAGCACAATTGTCGCGCACCTGCCGATGAGCAGACAATGCTCACCAATAGTACCACGCCAAAGAGTCTTGGCCATCATGTGGGAGGCGGGCCTGCCAACTAGATAGTGCCCGACAGCCCTGGAGAATTCTTCAGCCAACTGTTGCTTCTCCTCATGGTCCGTGTCGTGCCGCGTCATTTCAGGCCCGCCGGAGAAAAGCAGCACCTGAACGGTTCACATGCTTGGCAAGAAAACCATGCACCCTTCGCTCGTGTCAGAAAGCGGTCATGGTGGCAATTCCTCAGTCCGGGACGCCCTTGTCTGAAATTTGCCGGAAACGCTCCAGCAATGCCTGACGGCAAGCTTCGGATCTCCGTCACGTTGCCGAACTAAATCCATGCCGCCTCATGCGATACGTGCCTTCCATACCTTCAATGCAATGATGACTGACGCGGACAAATGCAAGGCACTATGAGTCAAACTAGGAGTATTTTGGGGCACCAATGCTAATGGGTAGACAGGCTCTCAGAAAACAGCTTTTGCTGCCTTTGCAAGTCCAACCCTAACCATCCCTGACCCTTGCAAAAGTCTGTGATATGGGGTGAGGCCGCCGTGTTGGCAAGCAGCGCTTCGCGTTTGCCTTCGGAAAGCTTTGTATGAAAACTTCCCATGTGTTGATTGCCTGGTGGGTTGGTATGCTAGAGAGAATCGTGCAGGTGGCAGTTTCGCAAACACCTTCTTCTTTCTGAAGCGACTCATTGCCAGTCAACGAATCTCATGCAGCATATTCAAAAGGACAACTAGCAGTTGGCAATGTACCACATTGAGACGGGCACCTCCTAAACACTGGTGCATTGATGATCCGAGGAAGTGAGTGGTACAGGGTGCCCAATATCAAACGTAAGAGGGAAGTGGTACTGCCGCGCCGCTCTGAAAAGGTAGCTTTAAAAAACACAGCGTCTTGAACATCTTGAACTGTCGTCCGCGAGCCTCTCTAGCCAACCGGTGGAGCTGCGTAGAGAACACCTCAAAGCTGCAGAATCTCATCAACTGCAAAGCGCCTCAACACTTCCAAGGTGTGGAATCCAGCATCGTGGCCCCTATGAAAAATGAAGCGAATCGTCTTTGGGCCTTTTGGACTTCACGCGCATGAAACGCCCTTGGCCGGCCCAAATTGCGGGAGTCGCAAGCTTCAGGACTTCCATTTCGCCGAGGTGCTGGTCCCAGTGCCCTTGTGGGCGCCTGCCAGAACGGCCCGTGCCGGGATCCCAAAAGCCTGTTTTAGGACATGCAGCTCATGCCATTCCACAGCACGCTGTTTCTAGGTTCCGTTTTGAGTGGTGCTCTGGGCAAAGCAATCAACCACTTCTCTTTATGCAGTTTGCCCAAGCAGCTCGCAAGATCTCTGCCCGGCTCTTTTTCGTGCGCAGGGCGCCATCCAACTGGCAGCGAAAATCAGCTCCTGGCCCTGAGGTTGATGAACCCAAGCTTCTCCAGGCACAGCCGGACCCTCTTTCAAAGCCTCTTGGAGAACATCTCTGAGCATCCACCCCAAACCTGAGACCAAAAAAAGCAAAGCGGGAAGCGGGCTGGCTACTTTGGGTGTAGTGGGAAACGTGTTCCTGTCGGCATTGCAAATGTCTCTCATGGCTAGCGGCTTGGCAGCGAACCACGGAGATGGAAATGGCAACCAAAAACTTCTGTACAAATCGGTCTGCGTCTAAGCCCATCACTTCGCCCTAAGCTGTGTGAGCAAGAGGCTGGTCTTTCATTTTCCCCACTGTGGTTCGGCGCCTACAATTACTGAGCTCACTGCACCGGCCGAGTTAGAACTGCATCTTGGCCTCTCTCCTGAGGGGCAACAGTAACCGAAGCAAGTTTCCAGGCTTCCTGGTCACCACCTCTTTTTTCTGAACGTGCTAAACAAAAGCGATATTGCTTACTGTGTCTATGTGTAGGAGTGTATATACTCGCAATGGACTTGTGACAACCCAATGGCCCCACATCAGCTTTCAATGCTTCGCACGTTCCATGCACGAAACTGAAATGCTGCATGGCCCCCGGCTATTTTTCAAACACGTTTCTCGTCCCCGCATTGCCAATTGTTTTAAAGCTCCCATGGCTTGGAGAACCGTAGCCAAATTGCTTCACGGATGTGGAACTGCTCATGTTGCAAAAGCTTGCAGGTTTTCGGTCCATGGCAACTTTAGGAAATCACCTCTTTAGCTGTGGCTCCGGAAAGGGGGCCGGAGTCTAAATGCTTCTGCCACCTGCTTTCACGATTGCTACAAGGCATGTTTGTGTCGCTTTCCCGTGGGTAGCAACAAAGCCAGGGGGAGCTCACTTGCAAACACTTGCAAACACATGCAAACGCTGCTTTTGAGCCAAGGAAGGCCCGCAGCGCATCTCTCAGTTCGGGCCGCCGGTCTTGCAGTAGCTTTTGTTACTGCATCAAGGGAAATCAATACACAGAAATCGTTGAACTATCGCATGCACAAGAAGGACACCTCTCCCCTCGAGAGGGTGATGGCGTCGTAGTGCGTGTGGCCAGTGTGGGCCATGGGCACCCATCTTAAGATAACGCTTGAAACACCCGAATTCGAACACTCATGCCCTTCAGGACAATGTCAAGGCTGAGCCAAATGCACACCCAGAAGGCGGACCGGTCACCCGCAACAAACCCAATTACGAGCTTTTTAACCGCAACAATTTTGACATACTCCATTGGAGCTGGAATTGCCGCGGCTGGCACAGGACTTGCCCTCCAATTGATACTCGCCAAGGGATTTGATTTCTGTTCATCCCAACTACGAGACAGAGATGCCCTGTAATATAGTATTTCTCGTCACTACCTGCCTGTGTCAGAATAGGGTAATCTGTGCGACTGCTGCTTTCCTTAGATGCGGGAGCCTCAGTACTTCAGACAAAACCGAATCAACAGCTGAGAGAAGCTAAGTCTTCAATTCGTGTTGGAATGCGACAAGGCGAACCGCGCTCCTCTTCTGAATGGCTTGGCTCTTGAACTTCTTGTCCTGCAGCCGCTTCTCATTGGCAGCCTTCCTTGGGGTTTCGGCGAAGCACAAGAACAGCAGACACCCCACACAGCTTGAATGACTTGAACGCAAAGCAGCAAACCTGGTGTAGTTTCTATAAGATCAATCTCCTGCCAATAGTGGAGATCAACTGACTGCAAGGGGCCTATCTGTAAACAATGAAGCACATACAAATACAATTGCAAAGCCATTGTTATTCAGTGAGTGGCTTTGCCGAGGCACTTTGTCCGCCGCATTTTCTGGACCTTCTTCTGATCCGGCATCTTTTGCTTGAAGGCCGCCTTCATATCACTCACTTCTGGGCTGATTTTGAGGGCTGGGAGTGGGGAGTGCTGTTGCAAAGCAGGATTGTCAGTACACCCTCAAAATCTGCAGGCGCATCCTGCTGACAAAGGAAAGCAAGGAACATGCCAGGGGCGGTAAATTGCGACGTGGGCGCGGCTGCCATGGAGGTTGCCAAATAAGGGGCCAAACGGTGCAAGTGTACAAATACCGGGGTTGTGCAAGGCCGAAACCATTTCAAAGGACCCCTCCTCCGCTTCCGTGTTTCTTGAACCAAAAGTGAGTGATAAGTCGATGTCGGACATCTGCAAGCGTAGCTTCTCTTGTGAGTCTGGCCGCGCCTGGTCGATCATCGCTTGCAGCTTTTGCATTGCCTTGCCGAGGCTAAGGGCGATGGATCGCAAAGCTTCGTTGAGGGCCGTGCAAACGAGCCCCATGAGGCGTGCCAGTTGCAGATCCGTCAGCGAAGCAAATCGTACGCGCAGGTGCGCAGGTTCTGCCAAGTTGCTATTCGAAGGTTGTCATGCTTTGTTCGCTGCTCCTGTCTTGCATAATGCAGCCGCAATCCCTCACTTAAATCATGAGGTTACACATCACTGTCATCAACTGCCAGAGTTCCAGCACACCAGCAAGGCGAATGATGCCCAACACCTAAATCAAGTCGTTGTAATCAAACAATTCCTTTCAGCCCAACAAAGACGAGATTGCATCCCGAAAGGGCAGGAGTCAACAAATGCCTGGCTTGAACAAATTGCCTTCTTCCTTTTGCAATTGCTGTCTTCTGCGTGCATAGTCTGCGCCGTCCTCCGCGGAGACCACCAGAATGCCCTTCTTGTTAAATCGATTTGCCTGCGGCCGGGAGAGCACCACCAGTGGCACTAGGCAGATTGCTTGAGTCACAGTCATGGTGCGGCATCCTCCCAAGAACCACACTTGACAAGCCAAAACATGGACTCAAAGCCTCGCCAACTTTGCCACAGTGCTTCAAACTTGTGGCTGACCGTGCCTACCAGCAACGCAGCTAGTAGGCCACGCCTCCTGCTTGCGGAGGTTGTCCTTCACCCACTGAGGCAAAAACCTGGCCGTATCCACGTCGAAGCCTCGAGGTGCACAGCTCAGTGCTACTTGCATGGGGCCGTGGGCATTGGAAATGTACGAATCGGCAAAGGGGGTTTGGCCCTGCAGCAACCAAGGAATACCAAGGAGATGCTTCAAATGTACGTATCTTGTCGTGCAGGATTCCACGGTGATGGCACTCTCACTCTGCTCCTCGCAAAATAAGAGGCTGACTAGCTTGCACCCTGGTCTCGACCTGCGGTACGCATCTCATTCTTTGGCTCGCCAGTCGGCAATGAATAACCTGTCTTCACTCTGTTCCATGGCTATCCCTCCCACCAATGCCTCTGCACTTCCATGTTTGCTGGCGGGAGGGAAGCTTACGGAAACAACGCTAAGATGGAACTCGACTCGAGTCGTTTGCAGCTGTCTTTGCTTGGGGAGGTTGACCTGCCATCCCCGCCAAAAGCCTGGCCTTGGGGCAGCTGGCCTAAACGACATTGTCAAAGCCATGTCTGACATTCATTGAAGCAGGCGTTCTGTTCAAAACGTCAGGATCAAACCAGAATGAACATTTACATGCTCAGGAACAGGTTTGACCGAGTGGATGCTTCAGGACGAGGCCGTATCTGCCCGTCGGCAGCTTCGGAATGCTCGGGCCCGTGTTGGATGTTGCTTTCGGTTTGCCTGCCTTGTTGACATTCTGTCCTCCTGGCCCGCTGCTGCGGGAGAACTGGAGGTCTACCTGAGCGCTCAATTGAGGGAATGCCCGTGCCAGTGCCAGTAGAACCATCCTTGGTGGGCTACACTTGAAGCATCACTTTACAAGGTACATGCACCATCTTGCAGTCATTCAGCTAAACAATGAACATGTTCCATTGGTCTGCACTTTGACGGCACACGCAAGACATGCAAGACATGCAAGACGTGCAAGACATGCAAAACATGCAAGACATGCAAAAACTAGCATTATCATCATCATCAGCAGCATCATCATCATCATCATCATCATCGTCATCATCGTCGTCATCATCACCAGCATCTTCATCTCCGTCTCCGTCTGCGTCTTTGACTCCGTCTTCATCTTCACCAGCACCAGCACCATCAGCATCATCAACATCATCCTCGTCATCACCATCATCCAGTCATCCAGCTCCAACTTCTCCGTTGAAGAATGTGCCAAAGTTGCAGTATGGGCCTTGCAGGCAGGGCGCATCATCCATGGTGATGCTGCGGGACGGGGGCGGCAAGTCTTTGGCCTTCTTGGCCAGCTCTGCAGCCTTCTCACCTGCACTCAACCCCTGAAGCCCTCACTGATCTGCACATATGGGTTTGTATTTCTTTGCCGTTGCCAACCCAGGAAGTTTGAGGAGGGGGTATGTTTCGGGGGTATGTTTCGAGGTATGTTTCGGGGGTATGTTTCGCCGCCGTCGAACTTCCTGCCCTGTCTAAACTGGACACACGCCAAAAAAATACAAACCCATATCTACGCAGCAGGGTGAGACCTGTGTTGCTAAAAAGGAACCCCCAATACATCCCTATTGGCAGCCAAGAAAAACAAGCTGCACCACCATTCACCACCTGCATCCTCCACGGCCTTCGAGCTGCAAAGGTTGGAATTGCGCCGGGTATTTCTACAGCTGTGCAAAGCACCTCGCGTCGCTGTGCGCTGCATCACGTTGGGCTGCGGCCTGGCTGGCAGGATCCGCCTAAGCCTATGGGGCCCGTCCTTGAATCCTCGAGGCTTAGCGCACGAAACAGGCAAACTCGTGGTGACTCCTGCAAACAGCTTTTAAAGCATTGCATGTCCTAGGACCAATATTGGACTTTGTTGACGTTTTGGTCAAACTGAAGCAAGTGCTTGGGAAGAATAATTGTTAGGTCTAATCCCATTTTATCTCTTCCTGCTTGCAGCGGGGACACGCCCGCGCCTGAGCTGAGTGCCTACAAAGTTAGGCAACTCCTGCGGCGCAGAATCAAAACTTGCCCGACACACGGGAGGGAGTCAAGAAATCAACGTGCTGGAAGGACATGCTTCCGCTGAACCCCATTGTCAACCGTTACAGGTTGTCAGCTTGAAGTAGTTTCATCCAAACATGGAAGTCCTGTCAAAAACATGTCGTGCAGAAAGTTTAATTCCTGAGGACTCTTACGAAGCCCGCGCACGCAAACTTGGCCGAGGGGAAAGCTCCTCACTAGCTAGGTCACCCTCTGTTGAGCAATTGGCTGGCAACCAAATTGAAGCATGCGTAGCGCACCTGGTCGCGGTTGTCTTACACGTGCTGGATAGTATTGAGTTGGGTTGAGCCATGACATGGCAGTGCCCGCATCCTTGACAGCGACCACCATCAGCAGAACGCACAAGGCGCCCAAATGGGGCTTGGAATGACCAGCCATCTTGACGCGCGCTGCGTTGGCTTGCAATACGAATATGCTGTGTCTGGATGTTGTCAACTAGTCGAGCTGCAATTCACCTTGGTGCTGTGATTGATGTGCTAGCTGGAGAAGAACAAGGCCCCAAGGCATTGCTTGACCAAACCACTACCATCCCTGGGTAGTTTGGCTGCAGCTTCTGCACATCCTGTTCTGCTCCACCCTCTCTTGGTTTGCATTGAACGCTGAGCCGTTCATATGTCAGCCTCACGGCATGCAAACGTGATGTATCATGTCCCAACTTACGCAAACTGCGTGAGCAAGTCCCAATAGTGCAGTCGGACCCAGCCCACACATTCCGTCCATCTGGGCAAGAATGCGCGAGGCATCCCCCGGAAATCTTTCGGTTTCAGCGCCTCCGGGCCAGTGCTGTATCCTCGGCAGACTTTGCACTGACAGAAAGGCCAAAGGCACCACTGGTAGTGCAAACACACAAACACAAACGAACAAAGGCCGTGCCATATACCACTCATGCGTTCACGCGCGCTGACTTACACAGACACACACACACACGCACATCATAAAATATCACAGCACAAATATATATATATATATATGTGTGCATACATGCAGGCACACAGACACATGCGCACAAACTGCACAATCAAAAACCATGGGACTTGAACCCACGGAGTCAGAGGTTGTCGTGCAGGAAGTGGGCACTCGCACTTGGCGTGTGGCCCTGCCCACGCAACTTTGGTTTGGGACAGTTTTGCAGGTCATGGCAAGGATGCGAGGCTTGATCCTCTTGAGATCTTGCTAAAGGTCGGTGCTTCCATTCAGGTCTCGAATTTATCCAAGGCACCCGTCGCCCGTGCTTGCACCAATCAAAACCTCCTATTTGAGGGCCGATGAGTGTCCCTCCTTCTATACCGTGCAAAAGGTGCATTGCCTCTAGCAATGCTCACCAGCACTGTGCAGCCCACTACGCGCAGTTTCTGAGGTAGCTACTTGCAGTCTGCCGGCTTAGGCGCTGCCTGGCCGACTTGTAGCTCTTTGCAGAGCCATGTGCCATGCGGCCATGCCCGTGTCCATAACTGCACATGGCTTCTGCCGGTGCTTTTAAAACAACAAGCAATGCTCGAAAAGCAGGCGATGATGCGCACAAGGGCAGCAAGCAGGTCTATATGGCAAATTGCTGTTATGGCTTCCCCCGCTTTGCTACTGCAATATCCCAAAGCCACACTAGTGTAGCGATTGACACCGTTCACAAAAGAGCACCAACAAACATCATTGCTGCCACATTCCCAGTTGCAAATGGCCAAAAGAGTTTGCAAATCATCTGCTATGCAAGTAACCGCTCTGCATCCTGAAAAGCATTGCTCGAGTGGTTTCATCAAGGTTCCCAAACAAGCAATTGCTTTCACCTTGCATCTTGATGCCGCAAATGTGTGCCTCTGTGCACGCGCCAGGCCCAACCTCGGAAGGCACGAGGTAGACTACATTCGGGCATTGCAGGCATGCATTCTCGACGGTCAACTTGGCTTGAGTTTTTAAGCACCAACGCCTGTTTCCATGTTGAAGCCTAGCGTTCAGCTCCAATGAACTTATAAACACACTGTTTCCCTAGCTGCCCCCGCGTGATGGATCACCAAATGGTACAAAGCTCGGCCAGTGTACAGACCCTCGCCGTAGCCCCATTATGCCATTGTGCTCCCACTGCGCACGCAGTGGATGTTATGTGCACCCAGGAACCCGTGCCCAAAGGCAAGGCTGGGAGCTGCGAGGCCTAGATGAGGCGTGAGGGATTTGCACGTCGTGTGTAGTCGTACTGCAGCACTTTTGATGGGGTTGCCTGGTTGACTTTCAACAGACTGCATTTGATTCTTGCCTGCTATGTGGCATGCGTCGTCTGTAGAAAGCACATGTGAGGATCCTTGATGCGATCTGCAACATCTCGCTGAGTATCTTTCGTTGACCTCCCTAATGTGTATGCACACATGTACATATCCATACATCTATAATATATATGCATTCATTTAAAGGTGACCCCCAACATGGTGGCTTTCCTTTTGGTTTTCCCGTAAATCTTCCACGAAAAAAAGACACACCCATATAGCAGGCCCAGAAGTCAGCAAGGAGTGACAGGCATGCCAAGCCAACGTCACCCAAGGGCACCTCGCCAACCAGGCGCTGTGGGCTCTCGCGCCTGGGCCCTGTCGTGAGTAAGCTGAAGAAGGGGTCAAGTTGAGTTAAGGGAGGCAAAGATCCTGCAGATTCCTGGGGTTCAGCTTCCACCAGCTAAAACAAAGGTTGGCTTCATCTTGGGGGTTGAGCCCCAGGGCATGGACAAAATGGAAGCCTGGAGTGTGCCCAGTTGGCCTGGCAAGCAGCTGTTTGCGGCTCTTGAGGGTGGTACCAGGCACAAGAGGTCAATGTTCAGGCCATTTGGGGAACCTGATTATGGCCACTGCCGGCCCTCAAATCATGAACTGATAAACGAAGTGACCTCCAACAATGATGCCTGCCATGACGCATTTGAGATTCGTACAAGTAGGATACGTCGCTCAGATTTGTTCATGTTCTACCTCGAGCAATGGACAACATTCGGGCACTCACACTGACCAATCTACACGCTGCCTGGTGGCAGCAGCCCTGTCTTCAGGCAGGCCTTGGGTTGCGCCGGCAGGCTCGCAACATGTTTCTAAGGACGCAGCCCACATTGCAAAGCGGGGTCTTTTGGCTGCGGGCAACGTATGCTCAAATGCCGCTTGCATGGGGTAGGGGCCGCAAGATTAAACAAAGCCAACATACGGCGGTTGCTAGCAGCTGAACATTCCGAGTAATTGAGTTGCTTGCCCTTATTCTGGATGTCTGAGAACGAAATCCAAAATGCCTAACACAGGGTCGAAACACTTGATTGGGCAACCAGAAGCCAAGGGCTTAGCTGGACCTAATGCCGGATAGCAAACAACAGGCGTGCAAAGATGCAAAGGATGTTCTGCACTGCAACGTAAAAGGAATGCAGAACCATGTGCCACTAGGCCAGCAATACTGACTGTCCAAAACAGCCACGCTCAATGTGAAGCCCCTCACTACAACAGCAACCTGAGCAAAAGTTCAAAGGCGATAGCCGCTAATCGCACAGGGAAGGACAGGAATGGAGACAAATGGCACCACCTCCTGTAACTAAGGCTATTACTGTTTGCACATGTTTTAGTATTTCAAAGCACTGGTTCAGTATTTGGAGAAGATGGCAACATGGTTTGATACTGTTCTGCTTGGTGTTGATGCAGCATGACATATGACATGTGTATTGGATGATTGCTGGTTTCGTAATTATTGCCTTCGTCCATGAGTGGGCAGGCCCTACTCCATCATTCTCTGCATGATGCTTCGCCGTTAAACCTCCGAGTTTCTTCGTGGAGGCATGTCACTCGCACACAACAACCAGCCGACCAAACAGCGATGTAAAGGCATTAAACAGTCTATCCAAATTGCTGTTCGGATTGGTGGTTTGCTGGATTGTTCACACTTCCGAAAGAAGCTCGATCCACGGCCTCCAACTGCTTGCCGCGGCAAAGCCTTTGGCATGCAGCGTGGCTGCTTTTCAGGAAGGCGCGTCGGAGCTGAATATGTGAACCCCATCATTCCCCCACAACTGCGGACTCCAAGATTAACGAGCCGTGTCTTTCACGCTGCCCATTGCATTAGCCAAAGTCTGGTGCTTGCCCTTCAAAACCCATCAATCGGGGACCTTCACTCTGGGGCACACGAATCCGTCTTCAAGGAACTTCAAGCACAAAAAAGGCAAACAAAAAGGATCAACCTCCATTGAAAGTTTGGTGCAGAACGGTATTGTTGTAGCGCTTTGCCCTTCACTGGCCTGGCGCTGGAGCACAGCGCACGGGGTCCATCTCAAAACGCCTGGCTGAAATTGGCCTCTTCTTTCCGAGGCTTCAAACATGCTGGGGCACAGGGTCAGCGTCATGGCCAGATCCACCTACATGCCCTGAGGCATTGAACACAAGGTTGGCCAGGAATCAAATTAGATCAACACATGGGCAAATGTCCGCTGGCTGCTCCTGCCCCCTATGCCCCCCACCCCCTCCGGGTCATGACCTGCCTGCGTTCATTGCCCGCACCGTTGCGTCAAGCAGCGCTGGCCGCTCTAGGCCCAAGGTCAAAGCTGAAAAAAGCTGCGCCTCGCCGCTAGCTCAAAGCACCATGCCGAGCCCCCATGTCAAACCAAAAAACCCGTGCAAAAGTCACCCAGCTCAAACACAATGTTGCGTTGCCTGCACGACGGCACATCAAACTGCTGCGTATTGAGATGAAACAGTCTGCACTGAGAAGAGAGCATTCAGCATCCTTGCCAAGTAGAACTTGAAAAACCTGTAGCTGACGCATACTAAATGACATTTCTTGGAGAGCATGTCAGCTTCCCTCGCAACCTATAGCGCCTTCAATTCACTTTTGGGGAACCTTCAGAAAGAACCTTGCACGATTCACTTCCAAGCGTGCTTTCTTTTCTCCATTGCCCTGCCTCTGTCTATGTCGGGGCTGCCTGTACGATCCGACAAGCCACTGACTTTGAATGCCACTTTGTGGCGCGGGCGATACTGTTGCCGCATCCTTCCAGATGTCGCGGCGTAGGGCTCGTCAAGCAGTTTCAAAGCCAAGAGCCTCTATAGCAAATCAATGCCTGGGGCCGGCCTGATGGACCCCACGGAGTAACACGGGCCATAGTTGAAACTGAGAGGTGGGGGAAAGGGCCGAGCGCCTCTATTTTCTCGGAGCTGGCTGTTTTCTTCACAGGGTCCACCAGGGCAACCAAAGCCAGCTGTACAGCTCCAGAACTCGTGCCTGTCGTGCAGCTGTTGGCATTGTGCCTAACAGAGTGAAACGTTCAAAAGCAGGCATCTCGGTATCTCCGGATCACTCTCGCAATGCCGGCAAGTCAAAAGCAGTGGGATGCAGCAGGGCCGGTTGCTCTCTCTGGCAAGCAAGGTGGGGGAGGGGGCTTGCAATTTCTTGGACGACAGAAAGTGATATGCCACGAGGCTGAAGTTTATTCTATTCAGGCAGCAGGGGCTTTTTGGCATGTTGATCAAACAGTGCCTAGCGCCTCCATAAAGCTCACAACAAAGGCAGTGCGGGCTGGCTAACGTCATTGCAGGTCCAGTGGACACCTAAGCTGAGAAGCTGTCCGGCAAAGCGTGCGAAGCAACAAGCGCTTGTCGCCGAATCTGAGGCAGCCGGGGGAGTTTTGGTCACACATCCGTAGCCTTTTGCCAGGACTGGTGGTCGGCTGCTCCCTGGCCATACCGCAGACTCCGGTCCCTGATTCGCTTACAACTTTCAGGTGCTCGGGCTGTGTCCTTGCCCTTGGCCTGACAAGAACATTTGTTGCCTTCGCTAAAGCAGATGCTGATCCAGCATCAGATCCTTGGCCAAATGTCAATGCCTCTAGCCAGTGTCCAAGCTGTTCAAAAGTTCAAGGGAAGATGGCGCCAAAGCAAGGAATTTCCAAACAGTTGAGGAAAGGAAGAAGTTTAAGTGCATAGATACAAACTCGGCTGGGAAGCCAGCACCTTGCTGCTCACATGCGTGTCTCTGTAATGTAGCTTGTCGCCTTCGTGGTGGTGCTGCGAAGACTCATCACACCTCAGACGCTTCTCCAGTGCTTTGCGTGTTTATTCCAACCCTGGTGTTCGAATTGTCTACCCAAACCCTTGCAAAAATTAACCAGGCGGGTGCACCCATCTATGGCTGGGAGTGTCCCTTGCTCGCCTTCACTTGCCCGGGTTTTGCTTGTGGCTCATGTGAAAACTGTTGTGCTCTCTGCTGGCCAGCCTGCACTATCGATGTCACGGTATGATTTGCCAAATGCCTCGCCTGAACTAATGCTACCTCACTTGCAATCGCAGGCCGAACATGTTCTGCAGTACAACTGTTGAACGAATCCCTGCGTAAGGAGCTTTGACTTCATGGGTAAGCCGTAACAAGCCACAAGAACATCCCAGGCACTGTCAAAGTTCAGACTTCTGGGACTCTCCTCCTCCACGTTCTCCGCGGTAGCCTCAAGCTGCTGCGACTCCCTCACCACCGCGGAGAGCGCGAAGCGGACCCTGTAGGCGTAGAGGGATCGCTTGTCACAAACCCGTTTCTCACCTCGCCAACGGCAGTGCACCAGGACCAAAAGCAGGAGCTGCGCAACCAGCACGAAGAGCAAGCTGCAAACAGCCCACACCACACCATCGTAGGCATAGACTTGGAGCGACTCCACAATGGCGAAGACTATGCCGACTGGAACAACATGAATAATGCTGCAGGACAGGATCCAGCAGCACCTTACTTTCCAGCTGAATGAATCGCTGCCCTTGCAAGCATGCCAAAACAGGTTGCACGGGGCTGAGGCGGCCGCTGCTTCCAGCCGGTCAAGTCCAAATGACGCTTGGTAAGCCAGACCAGAAATGTTGCGGAGACCAGGGCTGAGAGAGCGAAATCCAGCAATCCTCCCATGGTGCAAGATGTGCAAGCCCTTGGCCCCTTACCTGAAAAGCGGGCAGCCAAACTGGAAATTTGTTTTGTGCACGGCTGTTCCCCAGTCCTGTCGCACGGACTAGCATTGCCAGGCGCTCAGGGTACAGCAAGGGTGAAGCGGCCATGTAATCCAAGATGTTTGTCATCACTGGCATGAGGATGACAAACAAGTAGCGCAGTGGAATCCCCAAGCCTGTCGGCAAGGATTGGGGGTGTATCATGTTCGGTGGATTCGGGGCTGTCGGGTGATTTAAGGGAGGGCTGGTATACTCGGGTCAGTTGGTGTTTGGAGGCTCGGGGCTGGCTTAGTCTTGGTTCAGGGTCCTTGCTAGGTAGGGCTGCGGCTGTGGCTTCATGTTGTCGGCCGTGCCTCCCAGGGATCTGGTGATCGCGTAGGGAACTTCTGCCTTCACCAGCTGGTTGAAGGCCTGCAGTGCGTCCTCATCAGAGGCGTCCCGGGGTACCGCCTTGGTGTCGCGCATGTACCTGCCGGCGGGTGGCTTCTGTGCTGTGCTGTGTTTTGAACCTTGGCTTCCCGGTCACTTTGCAATCCCGCAATAACAGCAAACCCAAGCAACGAATCCCGCCAACAATCAATGGGGAAAGCCCAACGAACGCGCTGTGGGCAAGCGTTGCCTGGCGATGTTTCCGTAAACCATTGTGCGGTCAGTCTCCTTGAGGCAGTGAGAGTCGCCTCGGCTTCTTGTTCGTTGCAAACAAGTCAAGCCATTCTATTTCGAGAGCCCAACTTCCGTATACAATGCAGGCTTGCCGCCAACACAATGATGGAACCCCGTGCAAGATAGGCAAAACCTTATCAATGATGAACCAGTTGCATCTAACAAGGATGGAAACTGATATTGCATTCGCAGCCAGCTTGCACGCCCAATGTATTTCTAGCAATCCAGCCTCCTGACCTTCAAGAAGTTCGGCATTTAAGTGAGGTGCGAGCCAAAAACAGAGGCGCACGCGCGCACACACCGTGCTCCTGGCGCCAAGCCTCCGAACACAGAGAAGAAATCTGCCTTGCAACTCACATAATCATGAGCCCAGGACAAGCAAAGCAAGAAATGCTCAGGGCGATAGGCAAAAGGGGGTGGGCCGGCAGTCGGATGGGTGCGTGCGAGGATGCCTGCCTGTGTGTCTGTATCGGTACGACTGCGTGTCTGCGTGTCTGTGCATCTGCGTGTCTGCGTGTCTGTGTGTGTGTGTGTGTCTGTGTCTGTGTCTGTGTCTGTGTGCATGTGTGCGTGTGCGCGTGCGGGTGCGCATGCGAGTGCGGGCGAGTGCGCGTGCGTTTGGGCGTTCGTGCGTTCATGCGCGTGAGTTCATGCGCGTGAGTTCGTTCGAGTGCGTTCTTGCGCATGGGTTCGAGCGGTTTGCGGCGTGCATTAGCGCTGTGGGTGGGTGGCTGGCTGGCTGGCTGGGTGGGCGGGTGAGTGGGTGGGTGGGTGTCTGCGTGTCTGTGTGTCTCTCTGTGTCTGTCTGCGTCCGTGTCTGAATCGGTGTCTGTATTTGTGTCTGTGTCTTTTGTGTCTGTCTCTGTGGCTGTGTGTGTGTGTGCGTGCGTTTGTGTCTGCGTGTGTGTTTGTTTGTTGTTTGTTTATTTGCTTGCCTGCTTGGTTGGTTGGTTTGCCTGTTTGAGTGGTTGAGTGTTTGTTCGATGGTTCTTTGTTCGCCTTTTGCTTTCCCAAGTTGTTTGCTTGTGTCTGTGTGTTGATTTATGTGTGCGCTTCTCTGTGTGTGTGGTTGTTTGTTTGCCTGATTGCTTGCTTGCTTTTTGGCTTGATTGTTTGTTTGTATGTTTGTTTGTTTATGCTTGTTTGCCTGCTTATGTGTGTGTGTGTTTTGTGTGTTTCGTGCGTTGTGTGTTGTGTGTATGTGTCTATGTGTGTGTGTGGGAGTGAACCCACCCGATCGCCGAAAGCTGATTTTAAGATTCCTTCCAAGATGAGCCACTAAACATGAATGCACTTTGCGAACATGTCCCATCCCAAATAAGCCTCCTTGCACTCACCGGCGTGGTTTCTACGGTTGCGAACCCTGGACGGTCAGGATGCTGTAGGCTTCACCGAATTTGTCCGAGGATCCGTAGTGGAAGGTCCGGACATTCTCCATCATCCTGGGCTACTGCAGATCTATGAGTCACATACTCCGGTGGCCCCACCATGGTGTGGAGATCCATATTTGACCTGTTTCAAGCACGTGCTAACCCGCCCCTTGTGCATGCGCGTGTGCGTGAACAGTAGGTTTGGCGCTTCATGGTGATATACTCTTCAAGCTCATGGCGGCATAAGCGAAGTTGAGAAGCAGCAGCTCATCAGCAGCAGCTAGAGTAACAAGTCGTCACCAAAGTCACATTGAGGCAGACTTGAACACACTCGTCTACAACGTGTCCTTCCTTTGGCCGGTTTGTCCAACCAATGTCTGGACTACTTTTGCCAAGTTCCAAGCATCACTTTCTCACGTAAGCTGGGTACTGTCTTGATTTAGCGTGTGCCCTTGTGGAAAAAGTGAGCGCAATCTGGTTTAGTTGTAGCATCCATCCTAAATCCCACCCAATATCGGCATAAATCGAATCCCACCACAATATTATTGTGTATGTTGCATTTGTTTGTTATTTCGCACCGCTAAAACCTTGCAAAGATGCTGCAAAGTCTTCACGATTTAGAATTCACAGCGTTTCTTAGATTCTTTGCCCTAGGGCACAACACCAAGACACGACATGACAAATTGCACGCAACTAGGCATGTTCTGGCCTCCTAGAACTGCTCAATCACCCCGCAATTTGGGCCAACACAAATTCTTTCCATACCCACAAAATTCCTGGAATGAGCTACACACTTCCTTGCACCACAGTGCATGGCTCAGGAACGATTGAGGCGGGATCGCCGTAAGGTTTCGCCTAGGCCATCCTAGGCCACACAAATCTTTCATTCCAAGCATCTGTCGCTCCTCCTTAGACCAGGTCCGGAAGGCCCAAGTCACAGTCACAAGCAGCGGCAAATCCAGAAGTGCCACAAGGATCCGAGAGTCTGGAAGTACGGCGCTCACCTGCTCCTCAACCTCAGACTCCAGTTTGCACCCTGGCTGCAGCAACAGGTGTACTCATTTCAGCACATTTGGCCGGAGCTGGCCATGCCAGCCTGTCGCCTCAACACAAGCATCTAGCGTTGCGTAGACCGACCCATTGACTCCACAATAGTGAGCTCAGCTATAGCAAACCCTGACGATTCTTGTATACATGATTTGAACTGGCCTCCGAATCCGAGCCAGCAAAGATATCATGTATTCAGTTGACTGAGTGGTGCACCGACTGATAGAGCAGAAGCTGCACCCATATGCAATGTAGCATCACCAGGGGCACAGCAATGATGGTGCAGCGGATAAGGAAGGTGGGCAGCACCACGAGTCGGTTGGGACCGCGCTTGGGCAGAAAAGTTGCTAGTTCGTACATCGTCCAAAGCCTCAGCTGCCACGGGGCCGGCCCAATAGCAGGACATGTCACTGGCTCCGCATGCCAAATGAGCATCCAGGGAACTTTTTCGTGTACAGCTCCGAATAAACGACCAACATCTTGTCTGACAGCTGCAGAAAAACGTCCAAATGCTCGATACCCTGTTGCTTCAAGTCTTCATCGCTTTGGTGTATGCAGCAGCGGTCCAGGAAGACGCGCTTGCCGCGATGGCAGCACAGCAGTCTCTTCACATCATGCCAGAAAAGCAAGCAAAGCCTTGGCTCGAGCAGCCGCTTCAGCCGTCAGGAGTGCTAACTGAGCGGCTTACCCCTTCACCCTGAGCTGGATACTTTGCCATTACCAACCACAGCACTGAGTCAATGGAGGCGATTGCAACACTTAATTTAAACAAAACAAAAAGAAAAGAGAAAAAAAAAACAAAAAACATGGTTTCGAGGAGGATTGCAAGCATAAAGCTCCGGAGCAATACAGCCACACCACTCTGATCTACTATATCTTGCAAGCTCTGCGTGGCTAGCACTCTTCCTGCCCAAGGGGCCAGTAGGTAGCGACACACACGCCGGTGCCAGCATGGCTCTTGAAGTACAGGTTCTCCTCAGGTATTTGAGAAGGACGCAACAATCCCAAGCCTTTATGTGAGGTGCAAAGCCTGGTTGGTAGGAAACAACAGCCAAGTTCATATAATTTACCCTGGACTCTAGACCCACTGATCCTGACAGATCGCCTCCAAATCTTGAGTCACATCGTTCTCCCAGCTTCCATCACATTCATCATTGTGCAGTCAGTGTCAGTCAGTGTCTTGCGTTTGTTCACGATTTCCGGCATGATCTCTCACATGTGCCAAACAACCCCTATTTTCAGCCACGCACAGAACTGAGGGTTTCCTTGGAAGGTCTGGGCATTCCTGCCAAAGATGTTCATCAAACCAACATCTAACTTAACATGCTGAACTAACAAACCAACGAAGCAACACACACACACACCAACCAAGGGCTATGGGGACAGTTTCAGCAGAAATAGAGCAAGTGCTAGCGAACCTTTGGGGTGCGGAAGTCTGCTTCGGTCAAAGAGCATCGCCCTGTGATCCGGAAGCGGGTGATCTGCATGATCCACCTTTCAATTTTCAACAAGTTCAGCCAGTCGTGGTATGGTATGGAAGCTTTCGACATGCTTGTTCGTATGTTTGGTTTGCTGTGTTTGGTTCGTTCTTCTTCCGTGTTTCCTTTGCTTGATTGTATTTTTTCCTTGCTTATTTTCCTTGCTTGCTGTGCTTCTCTTTGCCGTTCTTTGCCTTACCTTACCTTACTTGCTTGCTCGCTCAGGGCTGAGCTTGACAAAGAACTCCTAAGCGATCCCCAGCTGCTGTTGGGATTCATGCAGCCCAGGCGCCAGGCTGACCAGATCAGCCGCCGAGGAGTCCCACATCACCACGAGGATGGTGGCCACGTAGGCCACAGCCGCGGCAACGGAGGCACTGCGATGGTTGAAGTGAAAAACGAGGGCCTCACGAAAACAGGTGAGTCATAGTCAAAACTATTAAAATAGTCTACTGCATAGAACTAAGCAGGCAGCTGCACCCATTTCTGGTTGGGAGTATCCCTTTCTAAAAATGTTCTACCCGGGTTTTGACTGTGGCTCAAGTGCGCAAGGCAACACCCCACAACCTGTGAAATTGCGGAATGTCGACGGTGGGCTTGTGCTTTATCCTGCTCTCTCTCCGACTCTCTGTCTCTCTCTCTCTTTCAACAACTATGCCGCAGGGTCTGTCGTGTTTGGGTTTTGCACACTTAAACACATGTTTCATTGACGACCTTAGTTTACAAACCGTAGCAGTCGTTCTTGCCTAAACTGCAACAGCTGTAGTTCAAGTTGGGCCTTGCATTTTTTTGTATTTGCGGCGCTGCGCTGCTCAACGAAGCCAGTGCCCTATATGGTGCTCTTCCAGTCTCACAGGCTTTCCACAAAATTTGGTTGGCAAATGCCGGGAAATGCCGGGAAACTGCAGCCTGAGGAGTAGAGCTGCACACTAATAAAGAGACCACTCGACGATCTTCTTCGCTGCCGGGACAGAAGATAAAAACGAAGCATGGGCCCGTCGCCTCCGAAAGAGCCCAACGGGAAGATTCAGCCCAGGCGCCATAAATTTAATCCGTCGAGGTGTCGCCCAATTGTGGGAGATGAAGACGTGAAGCTTATGAGTCATATCCTCACACAACGGACCAGGACACTGATCATTCCTCGACCATCGCCCCATGGAACAAATACCCAGTGCATACACATGACTCATGCTACTTGGAAGGCCTTCGTACCAAGCAACTGTCAACACAAGTACCACCACTGTTTGCAACTAACTATGTCCAGGCATCTGAAAGCTTGAAGGTGTCATAGTTCTCTGGAAAATCTCTGAAGACCTTCAGGGCAAGCAAGTTGCACATAGCAAGTGTCCAAACTTACAAGAACCCTCATTAGATCAACAAAGATCAGAGCTTGCACAGGAATGTAAGAGGGTGAATCGGACGCTGAGCCCGAAGCCCTGCCGAAGCTGTGAAGAACCACATAGTCCGGGGTGCTCCGCAGAAGTTTCTTGTTGGTCATGATGAGGCTTCTCCATCGCAACTGCAGTCGACAGCTGCGTTAGCTGCGGTCAGTGTGCAGCTTGCCATCAACCCCCGACTCAAGAAATGCAAAGGCAGCATACATGCCGTACATTCGATCCTTCCATATTTGGGATTGATTGCTACGAATTTGGGCGATCAAACTGTATCCAGCCTTGTGCGGCTCAACAAGCTCTGAATCCTCAGCCCTAACCTTGGATGTGCATGTCTTCATCAGGTCGTCCAACCCCATGCCCGATGCTCCAAAAACGCGATCACGATCACGGGACTTCCGAGCGGCTGGTCGGCAGTGCGAGGGCGTGTGAGCACCAAAGCCTCAAGTCGAGTGGGCTTTTGAATGCGGCAAATATGGCTTTTGAATGCAGATCTCTGTGCCAAAGCTCCGCGCCTGGGCCTTGAGAGGTCGTGGGTGAGATGTTCATCGCCCATGCCTACTAAAAAGCTGCGGCATGCGTTGCAAGGCCACGTGAAGTCCATCAGAGGCGCAATGAACTGGCACGCCCCCTATGCTTGCGAGAAATGCCTTGTGAGTGTATGCGATTCGATTCCCTTCGCTTCAGCGCGCGTGCCCTTTTTACCCGCCAGCGCTTGCCAGGCGTTGTTGCCGCGCCTGCGCCCAGTCCTGTTGACAGCATCCATGGCCTCTTCAATTGCATGTAAAAACCTGGCCACTAGCTCGAAGCTGCATGTTGCAAGTTGGCCCATTTGGAAGTTTGCAGGTCGAGTATTCAAAATGATTTGATTGCAGCCCCTCCAGGGCCGCCATGATCAGCACGTTCTCCGCACTCGCGAGCTCGGCTGCAGCTCTTTGGATGCCAGCCTGCCGGATGTGCAGCCACGTGCAGCCATCTGATTGCCTCTTGGAAAGGTTGTGGAATCTCCGGAGGCTTCCTTGAGTCATGCATTCTGCTGCAACACAGTCAGAGGTTTCGTGGTAGCCGAACATGTCAATGACTCAAGGACTCACGAGGACTCACGCCCCTCCCGCTTTCCAGAAATTGCTACCAAAAAATCGAGAAAACGCCAGTAGACATGCCTGGCGTCCTGACACTGAGCCACCCCCGTCAACTGAAGGCACGACCAGTGGCAAAAAAAACACGGCAATGAAGGTCTTTCCAGGCGGAGGAACTGCGCCTGTGGCACCTGCTGCCGTGCCAGGGCAGCATTCCGATCCCGCTGCACCTCCAGCCAGGCGGCTGCCAAGGCACAGGCACGCTGCCTTCGTACGCAAGCAATGCCATGCAGAATCCAACCTGGTGCTCGGTTATAGTGGGTTCGGCCAACCGGTTGGGAACGCCTGGCAAGGCTGACGGACCATTCCAAAAGCCTCTGGCTGAACAACAAGTTGGCTCAATGCAGTCCAAGAGGCTCCAGATCGAGGTCAGGCAATTCCTGCCCCGCGGCAAGCGCTTGCAGCTTGCCCACTCTTTGACAGCCACTACCGAAAGCTTGACGACGAGTTGTCTGATATGCTGGCATCTGGCCCGGACTTCAGCACTTCCCAGCGGCGGGAAGCAAATGAACCCGCCAGCCGCCAAACATATTATTGAGCACTCCGCCTCGGCGATTCACACTTCCTGCCTGCCAGTTGTCGAGGATCTCCGTTTCCAGCCGCCCAATCTCTTCCACCGTAGGGAGGCTCAAAAGCCGAGCCTTCGGAGTGACAAGGGGCCCGCAAAATGCGCAAATGGGGCGCGCCCGAACTGCCGAGAACACACACACACAAAGGACACACACACAAAGGACACACACACACTCACACACACAAGCTGGATGCGCTGCATGAACTTTCGCAATTTCTCTGAATGACTTCAGCAAGTGAATATCTAAATCTGAACCTGCAGTATCGCCCGATGCTGGCTGCTTGGACAGAAGTGAAGTATGTTCGAGAATGCTCGCACAAACAACGGGTGCACCTTCGCTTGTGGCAGCAACTTTGCAGTCACTTTCGGTCAAGGCACCACCGGAAGCAACAAGCTGCTTCCAACATTGCCAAAGAGGCGGAGAAGCAAAGGACGGCCGAGGCCTCGGTTGATTCGCCGGCTGCTTGATATCCTATTCTGGCAATTGGCTCCCTGATGCTCCCTGTTTTGTTGCACTTCGCATGCCTTTCAGGAGACTTCAGCTGCATGCGTCAGGCCGTGTTGCACCTCGCCTTCCAACACACCCTGCATATTGGATTTGCATCTGCAACTTGGTCACACTCTTGCACCCGAAGAAACTGGCGCACACACCAAATACGCAAGCCCACGCATGACCCCCACTCCCCACCCCCACGCACGCCATATCAGCAAAAAATAGCAAACAAGCAGCTCACGCATCCAAACGTGCATCAAGCCTGCTTCAAACAGCCAAGTTGAACATGTCCTTCCCGCAGTTGTCTTATGAACCAAGAACCAGAATGCCAACAGCAATGTACGCAATTGATCCAAGCCTGTTTGTCATGCGAATGGCCCAATAGTCCTCTTCACACATTTGAAAGTTCGCGCAACCAGAGCGAGTCCCTGCAAAGCAACAAGGGACCATCAGGCCACCGCCATCCGAATGGGGCGAACAAATCAATTTGTTGTCAGCGAGCGGCCATAGCTAGTTCCTTGCAAAGCACCGCTGTTTCAGACTTTGAATTCCTCTCCTTCTTGAGCCTTTGTGACCCTTTTTCTCCTCCACCATTGCCTGACGATCAACATGCATGCTAAGGTTCTTGAGAAGCAACCAGAGGGGATCAAAGGTCAGGCAGCCTCCTCTGGCTGCATGCCCCTTGCCCCAGCCAAGATGCCCAAACCGCGGCCCAAATTCCGCCGCCGCAGCGCCGCCCTGCAAGCTTCGCCCAAAGGTCCTCCAAAGTCATGTGCGGGCACTTCCTGAGTCAAGCATGGATATCTGTGGGCGCACAGGGGGCTTGGTCCTGATAACCTCACCCCTGTCGTTTCTTTAATGCATGTTCATTCGGGAGCTCAAGGAACGCAGAGCTCTAGGCACAACCATAATCATGTGCCTTGGAAGGGCCACAAGCAATCGCCAAAACCAGAATGCTGCCAAACCAAACAGCCCCCAAAGCCCCCCGCGAAGGAAAAGCGCTCCCAGCTTCTTATACCGCCAAGGCAGACCCTGCTTGGGAGTTTGGGCAGTGATGCTTGGAGGTGCTGGGGCAGAGATCACAAGTCAATGGCGTCACAACTTCAGGCTGCAAGGAAACTGTAACTTCCAGTTCCCTTTCACTTTCCGTGCTGAGGCTCAATCAGCGCCTCTTCAAAACCGCCGGCACCGCCTTTGGGAACGAAGCCATAGCTTGCCTTTGCTGGCCACTTGTCCGCTCCAACTGCAAGTAGATTCGCATTGGGCAAGTTCCAAACTTGCACTTCGGAAAATGCAGCTCGGCGATTTGCAGGGCAGCCTGTCCGCGCAAAAGGCTTGCCTTTCAACAGACTGCCTGGCCATGGGGCAAATCCGAAAACATATCAAAACATCGTTTGTCTCAAAATAGGGGAACACAAACATGAGTGGATTCTTATTGGCGTCCCTTTAACACCACGCACAACGGTCACTCCCAACAAAAACACATCTTTATCTGTGCCTAAGACAAACATCGGACGGAGCCCAGATGCCAAGAGCTCCGAGCTCGGAGCCAAGGCGTACAGGTGGCACAGCTCCTCGCCCGTCTTCACCTCGCGCTCCGCGACCATCCCCACCGTCTTGCCGAAGCGGATGAAGCCACAGGTAGGCCCTGCAAAGGCAAGGACGGCCCACCGGACATAAGTATGGCTCACAATTCAAACACCAGACCGCAGGTTTTAGTCTTTGTTTCCATTGACCGGGGCAAGCCATTTTGTGGTTGCCCTATCTTTGACCCGTATTGTTTCTGTGGAGGAATGCATGACTGCGGTGTCGCTCTTCTAAGGCGACGCGCTGACACAAACATGCAGCGTGCGTGCCAGCATGGCAGCGAAAAGGGTCTGGCTGAGACGCAAAAATGGCCAGGACATGCCAGGACACAAGCGGGGTTTCATCGCTTGTTGCTGCACTTTTACTAAGTTCTTCGGTGAGGCAGAGCGCAGTGAGCTGGGCAACGCATCTGGCAGGCGGTGCGACGCGCAAACAGAACTGGGAACAAAAACTTGAAAGGCTCCCGAAGGGAAATGAGGCAAAGATGGGCGACCATCTCACTCACCCAGCAACGTGAACAGTGACAACATGTTTGCATAATATTAGGTTCATTCAACCGTTGCCTGACACAAATCTGCGAAGGGCCAGGTGAGCCAACCAAACCTTGATCAAAGATCGGAATAATCACAAGAGCTCTGAAAAACCATTGCCCATTCGGCGGTCAGTGTCCCCCATGCCATGTGCCCCAGGCCTCCAGAGGACACTGTGTAATGATTCCTGAGCTGGCTGGGGGCGAGGGGTCAACTTCCGAACATGAGCAAATAACCGGGTGGCTGTTTCTGGGGAACCGTCGGCAAGCTAATGCCGCTGATTGCCATGAAAGGCTCAGCAAGTCCAACAGCGGGCATAGCATCATCCCGCGGCCAGCTGGGAAAGCCCGGCTGCGTACCGTGGCCAAGGCCCACCGCGCCTCCTCCTGGAGGTTTCAAAAGCAACAAAATCTGATAAGATCACAAAGTTTGACTGAACTGCACTGCCCCACCATCACAGTGGCACAAATCAGTTTCTCCCTTTAAGGGGCAGTCCTTACAACAGTATACGTCTCTGGCTTGTCCTGGGCAAGTGCAATAGTTACATATTCTATATGATAATATATGCGTATGATTCTGCACCGCGCAACGCGCCCCTGCTGCTCAGCCCGGATCTCAAGCAACGTGGAAGCCCCTTGATTCCTATGACGTTGCATGCTGCAAGGCAACCGTTTCACAGTAATTCCTGGAAAGGCCTTGCGGCTCCTGTGAGTCTGCCAGGCCGGCGTCCAGCAGGGCTGCAGACCCTGCTGCAGCGCGCATCCTGTCATGGTTCATTGCACACACCGCGTATCTCCGCATTGCACGACAATCCCGCAGCAGCAATGCCCACACCATGTTATGTCTCAAGTTCCATTTGTTGCATTAGAGCTGCCGCAGGCTGCCGGCTGCGCTGGCAGCTAACAGGTCAACCGGCAGGAAATCAAGGTTTTCAAAGTCGGGCCGATTGTCAGCTGGAATGCAAATTAACTTGAGCGGGCCCCGAAATCTAGGCATGGGATGTTTGTCCTTGCCAGTCGCACCCGCCGTAGTGCTGCCGGGCCCAGAAGCTGCCGCCAAGGCATCTGTGGCCACACAGCGGGGTGCTGAAGACTCCGAGGCAGGCTTTCCAGGTAGGCCTGGCAAAACGACCCCAAAAGTTAATATATGACTGAATGCTTGGAGAAGGCATATACGGCCTCGCGGTCACGGGATGGGCCCCATCAATAACGTTCAACCGCTCGCAACTATTGTTGGCTCTCAAGCGCAGCTCGCAGAAGATAGCCAGAAGGTCCCGAAGCCTCGATCATGGAGTAGCTCATGCTCTCGCATCCGGAAAGTTCCCACAGTGCTGGGGGGCACACATTGGCTTGAATTTCTGGGGCGTGTGGAACCGCTGAACAACCACCCTTCAGACGGCTCGAGCAACTCTGACAAACAAGGCAGCAAGGGATGCCACGGGCGAGCTGATGACTGAAATTCGCTCAAAGCACATTTCAATCGCCGCACCAGGATGCAGTTGGAACATCCATCTTCGGTTGTGTGCGACCTGGACACGTAAAACTTGTTTAATCTTGGCCCGCCTGAAACTTGGAGGAGCCCAAGCGCTTCTCCCTCAACAGCGCAGCTGCTGCTGCCACCTCGACAAAATTCAGGATTCCGTGGAATAGGATAATGAAACAGTGGAAGCTCCTTTAACATGAAGTATTCTTGCCTCAGGATGCCTTAGGAAGACCTCAGAATGGGCCCGTCATGCTTGCGCCAACGCTCCATCTGGTCGAACATCTGCTTGCTTACCGATACCGAAGCGCCCCTCTCGGATGTTGCTGGCCAAGGTGAAAGGGCCCCGCCTCAGGTCTGTCGTGGCCATCATCGGCCTGCAGGCAAAGGGAGCTCGGGATAGACACGACCACCTGGCTCTTGGAGAAGTCCCGGCGGGCAAATAGCCTGGGCTCAGCCACGTGCAATCGCCATAAGTGCTTTATCTCTTAGGTCCCAGCTTAGTCTGATGCGAGCACCGCAAATCAGGACGCTTGCAAGAGATCACACAACGCAACCGTCCAGGGTGTCGGCATGTCATTCCTTCATGGTTTGGTTCAGGCTTGGCTTAGGATGGATTTCGTCGTATGCAGTCAGGGAAGGTAGGTCTGGGATAGGTTCGTTTTTAATGTTTTGGATGGGTTTTGGGCAAGGCTATGAAAGTTTCATCTGATTGGAGTGGGCATAGGACTTTGCCAAGTTTGTGACAAACCCTTGTGACACAGCCTCTGCTACAGGCAAACGACAAAGTCATGCCTAAGTCACTCCTTTATCTGTGTGGCCATGTGTTCCCCCATGTAAACGCCGATTCCAAGAAGTCACTCCTAAGTCACGCCTCGGCAACAATCCCCATGGAACGCTTGACATCACCGAGCTGATCATGCTACCAAATTACAGGTGTCAACACTGAAACACAATGGAACGCTACTGATGGCAAAGCATGTTTTCCAGCCCCGCGAGGCGTCTGCAGGAACATGAAAACCAATGGAACGCCGAGCGTACGAGAGGTTGTTGCAGGAGAGTTTAGGAAGACATGACGCAATAGGTGGGCTTTGCAGGCTCTTGCACCGTGTTTTTCCACGTCCTGGAGTTCTTTCTCTGGAAGGCAGTCAGGTACATACGCAATCCACCCTGGCAAAAAAACGAGATCAAAACGAGATCAAAACGAGATCACCGATCGTCCGTTGAAGAGCTTGGGCCCACATGTGCCGAACCCGCGCCCACAAGTTCACTCACTTCTGCACCCTCTCCCATCAACCCACTTCCGCACCCACTTTTTGACTCAATTTCGCACCTGCGAACGCCAGCCGCTCAAGCGCGCCTGCTCAGCCCTGCGCACACACGCCAGCCAAATGGTAAGCACCCCTGCTCAAGCACACTGGCTCAGCGCTGCACAGACGCCAGCCAAATAATAAGCACCCCCTCAAGCGCAAGGTGCCGACTCGAACCAGCTGTAGCAAAAGAGAAGTTAAGTTTCAAGATTGCGAAACACACTGTAAACGCTCCTAGGCGGATAAAATAGAACATGCCTAAACCATCCTAAACCCCACGGAATATCAATTTTCAACTGCAATGCCTCCCGAAAGCCTATCCCTTCAAACATGCAGAGTTCCTATGCGTTTTGGAAAGAGGCACGACTTTTGCGAAACACACTGTAAACGCTCCTAGGCGGATAAAATAGAACATGCCTAAACCATCCTAAACCCCACGGAATATCAATTTTCAACTGCAATGCCTCCCGAAAGCCTATCCCTTCAAACATGCAGAGTTCCTATGCGTTTTTGGAAAGAGGCACGACTTCTTCGAAGCCCTCTCCCCCATGGAATTTAAGCAATGCCTCAAACGGAGGCACGACTTTGTCAAATCCCTGTACAGCTCTGCTCGATCCTCCTTCACACCTGTGCGTGCGCAACCTGTACAAGACGGTTAACAACGGCAACGCAAGCTGCAAACGATCTCACAACGGCAGCATTGTCGGCTGCAAAGGCAGGAATAGCAGCAGCAGCAGCAGCAGCAGCAGCAGCAGCAGCAGCAGCAGCAGAAGAAGCAGCAGCAGCAGCAGCAGCTGCTGAAAACAAAAACAGTAGCAGCGGTGGCAGAGGCAAAAGCAGAGGCACAGGCAGGCAGCGGCAGCCAACGTGACAACATAGTAGCATCATTTGGAACATAGCAGGGCGTACACTCCCACACTCCCAACCAGGCTTGGCAGCCCGCATCCATTGGCACCCTCAATAATCTCTACATTCTCGAGGCCTTTGGCGCCGTTGTCCTCCAGCCAGCGCCAAAGCTCCTTGGCTTTGAACAACCTCTTACACAAAGGCGGCCATGGCCAAATTCACGCCTGCTCCTTACAGCTGTGCACAAGCTTGAACCAGTCTTTTGCAGTGCTCGAGTCAAGCAGTGGGGAAAACAGGCCCAAAGTTGAAGCGCAGTGAGTGCCAAATACATGATCTTACGGGATGGAACGGCAGGGTAGCCCAGGGAGCGCCGCACAGTGTGAACACCCAAACCTCAACAACTCCAAAGTCACCTGTCATAAGACTATAAGACTGACGGGGCTAGCTAGGACTTCCCGCTGATCCACACAAAGCCAAAGATCGAACGCAATGAAGATACCGCTGCGTATTTCAAGCTGGGGCTCTGGCCGCCCCGCATGCCTCGCTACTTGCACTTGCCTTGGCCGCAGAATTGAAACTTGTCACGCCGTTCAATCCCAAAAGCAAATGACTCAAATCCAACTTGATCTAGAGATGCACGTGGAAATGCACGCAACTGGCCCTCTTCCAGTTGCAAACATGTTAGAGCTTGAGTCTGAGCTAATCATCTGTACACGCGCTTGAGCCCATGGCGTGGCACTCCCCCGGAACAACCTCGCGCGCCTTGCGAAGCGCTCCAGGCAAGCGAACAGCGGCGCGTGCACACTGAACAGAGCCAGCGCCAAGGCATGTCCGCGCCGCATGGATCGAGGGGGCTGATGTGCTTGGCGATGCTTGGCGCTCTGGTCGTTTGTCAAGCTTGCGACGGGGGAATGGGATTCTTTGCAACGTGTGTTCGCTGGATGCAGGCCTATGCAGAAGGGATCGTTCCAACCGTTGGCATTAATATTTAATTCTCGCAGGCCGTCATCTTGCCACGTTCACGCTGTTGCCTCTTGATGGCTGCTGGGGCCAAGAACAGGCAAGGCAGGTGTGAAACTGGGCCCGGTCCATTGCATTTAGGCCCAAACCGAACTCTTTTGTCACGTACTTCAACAATCCGTGCGCATGTGCACCTCCGGAAACTTCCCATCCTTGTCATGCAGAATGTTGTTCAACAAGCTCATCAAGATACCAGGACGTCGGTCTCAATGAAGGCCCTGACCAACGTTCATCTGATTGAACAACATCACTCATCATTGCGGCTAGCACATGCTTCCGAGATTGTGATTCCGGCAAGCCAAGCTCATCTGCAACGCGGCCTCTCACCCAAGCTCATCACCACCTTAACATGCAGACACGTGGGCTGATCATGGCCCAGATCATCCAGCTGCTCCTTTCATCGGCAGCATTCAGGGAAATCAACCGTTGAATGGACACCCCGCACCACCAAACGAAGGTCAAGCCTCACTTCGAACACTATTGCGGGGGGTGGCCCCGTGCATCCCAAGCAACCAGCGGCAGATCGCACTTTCCTCGCCCTGGCGGAGGTCGTTGGCTGCAATGCCCCCTACGAGCAGCACCACCGCGGCGGCACTGGCCGCCAGCACCCAGGGCCACCGCCGCGCCGGGGCACCTCTGGCCAAATCGCGCGGGCTTGGCATGTTGCATTGGTGAACAGTCATGGTTGCAAGGAGGCAAGAACTACTTTTCCGCATTTGATCATTCAAAATTTGAGGGTTGTGTTGTGCAATGGAAAGGAAGGCTGATCCACTGACCCACTTTCTGGTAACGAGCAGCACCGCAATACGGAACAAAGTGGCACTGGCAGTTAAGCGAAACAGACAATACTGAATTCAAGCACAAATTGGGCATGGTTCAAAGATATTCAGGAACCTGTCGCCTGGTCACCAGGAAGGAACTTGACAATAAAACTGAATATGTGGAGGCCGTTCCATGCAAACACAATACCGACATGATTGAAACTTGGGGGACGAAACAACTGGGACCCGGTTAGGCATGTCTCATACGCACTAGTGGAAAGTATATTAACAAATTAGAAAGGCTTGCATGGGAAGCCCAAGCGTTGGGTACTTGCACCGGGCAACTGGTGCCGCAACAAGTTGAGGCCAAGTTCACATCCCGGTCTTCTGAAAGCCATCTTTCAACATGCTTCCCTTCGGGAAGGACATGCATCAAAAACGGCACACGAAGGCAAGTAGCTGACCAAGTGGCTGGTCTCCCCTTCAAGAAGCTTCGGGCTCTCACCCTCCAGCTTGCCAACCTCCCGGGCCCAACTGCCACAGGCACTCGTCGGCTTCACTCGAGGTTTTGATCCAATCGGGAAGCTCACCGGCTATGCTTGACTCCGGGAGACATAGGAGTGCAGTGAAGTGAACAGTTCACAAGCACAATTTGTCAACATCTCCAAGCAAAAACAAGTCAGAAATGACAAGAGACCTCCACAATTTTCTTCCAAGCGCAGCGAACAAATGCAACAACAGGTTCCCCTCAACCCACTCTCCAACACCAGCTCTACCAAAAGTGGCATTGTTGCGGCATTGTTCGGCTTGACTGGCAATCAGTGGCTCAAAATCAATATTTGTTTGCACTGCTAGTTCACACTGATTCACAACATTGGAGACGCCTCTTCAGCCTCTAGCTGCAGTTTCTCCTCTTCCTTCTGCTCCGGCTCTGGTTCCCTTCCTCTGCGCCCATACCCGAAGCCGCCGGTTTTGCGCTGGCGTCTGGGATCCATCTCGTGCAGAATCCTGGGCTTGAACCTGTACCAACAACCTTCAGAGAGGACTGGCTCGCACAACTCGCAACGGAACAAAGGTTGCTACTTATGTATGGGCGTTCTTGCTCTGGCCACCCCCGTTCGCAATAGAACACCACATCCTCCCAAATAATATCACTCCAACACAGCCAACACAACCCAACTTTCAACATCTGGGCTACCGCCGCGAATCGCTAAAACACAAGCGGCAATTGCTGCAAGCTGAGAACCTCGAAGATTTGAAGCAAGGGGCGGGAGGTGCTGGTGCTGCCAAACCCACCGCGCCAGCTCGGCCTTCTCTGTCGCAGAGCCCTCCTCCACCCCACGCTCCTGCAGCATGTCCCGCAACTCTGCAACAGGCAGCTGCTGCAGCTGTTGCAAAGACCGCGCTGCCTCAGGGAGCCATAAGTTGGGAAAATGGATTGCAGGGAAAGTTGCAGAGGGTGCACGAACACAAGAACTAAACTTGCAAAACAAACAGGCAATCGAGGAACAAGAAGGGCATCTGATGGCATCCCACCCGTGCCTCAACCTTGACGTGGGGAAGGTGCTGATGCTGATGCACCCAGTTGGCCAAACTGTCCTTGTCTGACGCGTTGTGGGTCACGCCCCTCTGCTTCAACATTGCCTGCAGGTCTTTGGTCGGGAGATCCTTCAGCTCAGCCAGCGATAGCTCCTTTGGCTCCGAGACGGTTGCAGGCTGCACGTGGGTCTCTGGCCTTGGCCTGGGCCCCACCACCTGCGAGAGGATGGGCGAGTCGGGCGCGTAGGCGGTGCCGGAGGAGGCGCCTTTCATCGCCTCGCGGTAGCCCGACGCGGCGGACTGCAGATCGCCCTGAAGACCTGGCGTCGATTTGATCTGAGCCCTCGAGCCCTGGATTTTCGACCTTCGACACGTGCGAAGTACTGGATGCAAACAGGTCATTTACACAGCTCGGGATGAGACGGGATCTGCTGTTTGCCAAGATGGTCAGAAGGCGCGCCTTTCGCCACCTTCCCCAGTGCAGCATCCTTCTGGTGGCTCTGCAGCGCCTTGGAAAAACGTCAGGAAGGGACACCAAGTTGGTTCCTGCCTGAACATTGAAATTTGAACACCCCTTGCGTTGATGATATTGAAGCCCGTTTCAGCCAGGATTGCCCTTTGCGATCTTACCTGTCGCTCAGGTTGCAGCAAAGCGCAGTCCGACATTTGGAGAAAACAATCCATATCAATCCACGAGTAGTGGCATGTACTGTTGACTCTGGATGAGACAAGCAACAGGCACAATGCATTGTATTGCAATTGCGGAACTCCCTTGTATGGCTCAACCTGCCCTAGCCGGCGTCCCAGCCGGGATGGAATGTTCAAGCTTGCTATACAATCCCCCACAAGCGCACCCTAAAACCTAGCGCACAAACACACGCACACACACGACAAAAGGAGAGGCAAGCACGGGCGCAAACCGGCAAGAATCATGCCGCATCCAGCAATGAACAGAAAACGCAGAAGCGACGAGGGTGGCCCGCCCGCCGGCCCTCCCAACCGTTCGCAGAGGCGCTGCCGCTGGCTTGGCCTTTGTCAGGGCCTTGCTGCAGAGTGCCAGGCTGCGCAGCATGGCAAACGAGACCGGACTCACCCTGGAAGAGACCTAAGAGGCCTACAGCGGATTGTCAACACGCATGCTGGCTTGGTAGAGTGGTACCCCCTGCCGGCCAAAGTTGCTCTTGAAGCAGAGAAAGTAGACCAAATCGAGGAACCACAAATTATGAAGCTTATTTTTGGGCAACATGCATCTCGCGCCGCAAGACTGCAATGGCTCGTGTTTGCAATTAAAGGGGCTGCATGAGTTGCCATGAGTTGCCAATGAGTTGCCATGGCTTCTGCATGCAGAAAGCTGCTGCAAGCCGCAGCATTTCTCTTGGATCCTTCATCCGAAGCTTTGATACGAAGCTTTTCTGTGCAAGGTCAACATGGCTCAGGACAGATTCAGCACTGAAGGCCGCTATTCGCCTCTTGCGGCCTCGAAAGTAGAACACTTTGATTCTTATATAGGTCACTCACTCACCCAATAAACGGTCGCGTCTCGCAAATGAGTGGAAGTCTAGAAGCAACAACACATGCCTGGAACAAGAAATGAGCAAGTTGCTTGGGTGCCTGGCCACTGATCATATCCCCAAAAACGAAAACATATCAGCTGCGCAAACAAAACTCCTGCCCCACAAAGCAAACAGCATTAAACAGAAAACAGGGAACAATTCAATATATGCCACTCTGAAGTTTCTGATTCCTTCATGACGCCGCTGCGATCCGTCCAGGTACGCATCCCACACAAAACAAGGCCCTAGCCACAGCTCGAATGTTGGGGTGCATTCGTAAGAAGCGAGCGATCCGAAACCTGGTGGGTTCCACTAGTCACATGTTTGATCAGGCAATGCGCATTCACGCACGTATCAGTCATAAAACCATGGCAAACATACTTTGATTTGCATCATCTCATGAAGGCAAATCGGTGGCCCAGGGCTCACCTGGCAGAACAGAAAAATGAATAGGATCTTTTGATTTTAGGCTGCATTCCCCCGTCACGATCCAAATCCCGGATTGAACGGATCCCTCGTGCCCAGAAGGCATGTCCTTTCAAATCGTCCCATCTGCAAAGCTGACGTCATGGCTTGAACCGATCCCTTCTTACAAAGAAGTTGCTTTTCGTCATGCTCCGAGGGGCTACGTACCTGCTGGAGACCAATTTGCTCTCAAGGGGGTTAGTTCATCTAATTGTCCAACTCTTGCATGGTCCTTGCCACAGATATGTCAACAGAAAACCTCACACTGTTTTACTGGAATTCTCACGCAACAGTTGGGGCAAGCAAATGTCAAGGTTATGCGTGGCGGGCTAGGGTTTTGCCAGATCTGGGGTTTCAGAGATTTGAACCAAGCGCGCAAGCAGCATTTTTCATCCTTCTTCTCTTCCTGGTTGCAAACCTCCGCTACCTCCCCGGAGCACAGGAAGCCAGCCGCGCGCTGCAAAGCCTGGCGCCATCGGAGTAAGTGCCCAATATCGCCACCAATCCATAGACATGGTGCTTGTGTCACATTGAAATACCTGCTTGGTTACAATCTCTCATGGGTCAAAACTTTGAGCACTAGTCTTGCCCCACTGGCGATGAGTAACTTAATGTTAAACAATTAGAAGGCTGCAATGACCTGGCTGATGTCAAGCCACTCTTGTGAGTCTGGAACTTTGCCGAAAAGAGGACTTTGCGGTAGCATTTGCCGCATGGCCAAAAGAATGGGAGGCCATGCAGGACCCAGTATGTCCCCTTGTTCTTGCACTCTATGGACATCCTGACGCCGGTGGCTTCTGGGTGGGCCATGCAGTGAGAGATCGGGCTTGGGACAATCAAGTCGCCTCCAAGGTGGGGTCCATCTCTGCCAAAGGCCCCGGGACCTTGATCCAGAGCTTGGTATCCTGGCACAGTCCGCCGACGGGGGCGCAGTGCGCTGGCCCGAGGCCAGGTCGTATGAACCTCAAAGCGGAATCTGGGGAAACGAATCGAAAGTTCGAAACGCTCATAAAAACTCGCAGAGCTACGGACGGAAACAGCGCAAGCCAGCCAGTGTCAAACATGCAAGGCTCGCTGGCAGGGGACAGGGAGGCTTCTTGCAGTCCTTCGGGTGCGACGGCAAGCGAATCGCCCAGAATTCAGCTGCCTCATCCCAAACTGGCCAAGACCTGGCTTGCTGAGCGCTGCGCCAGCAGCATCTTGCGGAGCCTGAGGTCTCCAGCGAAGAACACCTCGGAAAGTAGTACCATGGAGTCATGGAGATGCTTTACCTATCCTGCTTGAAGCACGGAAAGACGCATTATTTACAGATTGCGGAACAAGATGGTTGCAATAAACGGGTAGCTGGCCAAGGTCAAGCAAGGCAGGATTCTGGGCTCCAGAAACCAAGGGGAACAAATCAAATGTCATGGAGACCTGTTCCGCGCTTTGATCATAATTGATCATTGTTTGCGATTTCCGCGTTGGCTACTACTTGCATTCTATGACATAGGGCTGCATTCACCGAGGATCAAAGGCAATTGCTCTCAGAAGCCGGCAACTGACGGGGGCCATCCTCGAGCCAGACCCTGGCAATCGCAGCGTATCGCAGCCAGGGTTGGACAGTTGACGCAGCTGGAACTGGCTTGAATCAAGGGTGAATAACTCCCAGTTGCTCACCAGTTGCTTTGTTGCCTGTTGGCTGCCAGCTGCCCCTGTCCTGTGGGCCATGCTCCTTGTTCTGCCGCCGGATCTCAAGACCTGCATCCAGCCACTTTGGTGGAAGCAAAGCCATGCTTAAACAAACCTGCACGCAAGTGCGGCTCTCGGAAAAACCTGGGTGCCCTGCCCCAATCTTGGAACCTAGGTACGCAAGCTAGCGAAAGCCGTATTTAGACCAATGCAGCTCTCGGGCAATCCAAGGTCGGGGCTTTTCATTGATCTTCTCGAAAAAGCGGATCGCCTCGACTCTTGACTTTGCGAACGAAGCCCTCGTATCATGCAGCATCGTGCTGGAGAGCGAATGTGTCAAGGCTGGTCAAAGTCTCATAAGGTCTTCGGAGCGCAAATTTTGATGCTAATTGTCTACCCAGGCCCATGCACAAGCGCCCGAGAGACTGAGCATGTCAGATCTAAGCGGGGCATGATGCTTTTTCGTTTGTCTCCTGGGCCAGGGTTGGTCAGGGTTGATATACTGTTGGTTGACATGGGTTTGCTTTAGATGGTTGTTGGTTGGATTCTGAGCTGGGTGCAAGAAACCCACAGGCCCAAACCCGCAAAGGCAAACAAATGACAAGAACACCAAAGTCGATAACCAAACCGAAAATTGCTCTCCGGACAAAACTGTCAGCTCGCAAATGCTAGAACGCAGAGCCAAGAAAATGTGAAATGTGAAATGCAATTCGTTTTGAGTTGGCATGGCATTAAACATCAACATGCGTGTTTGTACATTATTGTTTGCCAAACCCTCTTAGTTTGAGCTCCCTGCCTTGCGTAGGGCCCTACCAGTCCCCAAACAAGTGCTCTTCCATGATCCAGCTGAATCCTCGTGCATTCACGCCATACACAAGGCGAGTAGTTGTCACTCCTGCCAGCCCAGCTTCAGATGTTGTTTCTCACAGCGTGCCAAGTTAAACTTTTGTTGTGGATAAAATATGATATTTAAAAACACATAAAATAAATAAGTAAATACAACAAATACATAGGGTGCGGATTTATTTTTGGATTTTTTCCGTGTTTTTTTTGGTTTGTTTGTTTGTTTTTCGTCCGGGCCAGTAAAATGTCGTATTTTACAGCATTGTCTCGCGAAATTGACGCATTTTACACTAGCCCGTCAACATCCCCAGCATCGTTTTCAACATCCCCCGCATGTCCGAGAAGCCAAGAAGCCAAGAAGCCAAGAGCGAACAAAAAATCCAAAAAAAATCCTAAAATAAATACCCCTCCAAATACATATCTCTTTGTTCTTATGAGCTTCACAGGTTGAATCACCGGGCTTGGGCACAACTCACCCGACTCCACCCCTTTCCCACGTCACCCGACATTCGTCGATCAGACTCTGCCCGACAGCGATTCTTGAAGCCCACCAGAGCAAGGGCCAAGGACCCTTGTCACCCGAGAAGCTCAAACGATTCAAGCACTGCTCTCACGGCCATCCTTGAAAGTATCAGATCCAAACACCCGACATTTCCGCGGTGGGAGGTGACCAAATCCCATGATGCCCCCTCTGCGACCCGGGCGTTGCGGCGGCGCAGCTGCGCGCCTTCCGAACGGCCCCCGTAGCCACGCTTCTTGGCATCCTGGCACACTGTTTGTGGGCATGATTCGTCTTCCCACCCGTGGAAGGGCCAGTTCTTACTTCGTTTGTTTTTTGTTCAGGGCAAAAGCTTTGCGAGCATGTTGCTTGCTTTGGCGCCTCGTAGAGCTGAAAGCGGCCAGTGCCTGCCGTCAGCGTGCGGCCGGGCACCTCACCCTTTGTATTGCGTTGGCAATCCTTGACCCCCTATCACCATCACTAGCGCCTTTTGACCATGCGGCTTCCACGATGCAATCTCATGTCAAGGCGTTGGGGGCACCCTGCATGGAGTACTCAGTGCGGCCACACGTGCTGTCAAATTCGAAAATCCGGCGGAATCACGGGCAGGCATTGCCTTGCTTCTCATTGCCTCGCACGGCGTAGGTCCTCAATACCTGCACAGGGAAGCAAATGAAACGCGCTAAGCAACAAGGGCAAAACGGATTTGAACACAGTCCATATTCACGGCACAGTCCTCCGTTAACATTGTCAAACCAAACTGTTGAGATGTAAGCTCAGGAAATCAGGGGAGCAGGTGGACAAGCGGGGTTCCGCGCAAGGAAACTTGTAGTTTCACACCTGCGTGTCCCCCACCTTCCTGTGAGCCGCCATGCTCATTAGATGGACTTAACTGGAGAAAAGCACCTCCAAAGCAAAGCCAACAAAAGGCGGCAGTAAATCCGGAGGCTCGAGGATGCCGACCACCTACCCCTTGCCTGGCCTTGTGCTCTTCCAACTCCCAGCCTTTTGGCATGGTCTTGCTGGATGCTTGCACGTCTAGCCTCGAGGCGTGAAAGGCCCAATGCGAGTTCAAAGCAGCAGTTTTTGTACAGTTCGCCCATGAAATTGGAGAGCACCTCGTCAGTAAGCGGGAAACGCTGAGCTACATGCACTTGTGCGCTGGCGCAGCTTCCACCATGATAAAACTGACAATGATGGCTCTCTGTATCTCATATATGCAAGAATCGGCAGAGCGTTCGTTACGACAAGTAGCCGACTGTCAATGTCCAAAGGAAGAGCCGTCTGGTCGACAAGCATCTTAAGTTTCTCCCAGCGGATCCATTCACCTGTTTCGTTGGCAACCACGGGAACCAGCCTTTCGAAACCAACAGGAAAATAGCCGATTGCATACTTGAGATCCGCATGGATCCGCTGGGTATGCTTTGGCTTGGGCAATTGAAATATCTTTCCTGGGCCCAAGCTCCAGACGGGCCGTCTGATGGCCCTCCCTCGGCACCAGGCCCTCGTAGCAGCCCCAGAGCTGCGCGCCCAGCACCCAACAGGAGCACCTTCACTTGATGTTCACGGCCGCGCATCAAATTTGCTTCTACAAAACTGTTTCAGGGTCGGACGGGCAGCAAAGTGCATCTGTTGGTAATGAATGAAACTCCAAAGCAACTTTCAAGCAGAAGCACAAATCGAGTATCATGAAGAATGAATCGCGGCATGCTGTGCGACCAAACCCTGTGACATGTCATGACATATGACCAAAGGGGTTGACAGCTACACAGCACAGGCATGGATGTGCGGATCACACATATATATATATATATACATATATATTTATGTATATATATATATAGTGATATAGGGAAAACACCTTCTCATTCTTGTGTAGCGCCACTGGTTCTTCGCACGTTTCATTATGCCATGTTGTCGCTCAGCACGCCGCTGTCCTTCCTTCGTGAGAAAACAAACCACTTCTCTGACCCACACATGCTCCTAAGCACCGGCCCCAAATGCACAGAATCGAAATCTCAAAAACCCTGGCAACCCGCGACTGCAACACACTCCGAGCTGAGGTCCAAACAGCCACTGCCTCAGCTGGAGCGTGCGAACTAGATCGCCTGTTGACCGTCGCAACAGCATAAAATCAGGCGCACACCACTCCTGCAACTTCCTTGGCCCAATGCTGCAACGCATCTTTGGCATCCGGCGACACCCACTTTTCCCGCGTTCAGTCGGCCATGACCCACAAAGTCATCGCCCAGCGTTGCTCCCGGGGCTCGCGGACAGCGTGCCACACGTCGCGGGATCGAAACATTACGATACGCCCAGCCAACGGGGCCACATCCACGAAGCCTTCGCCCGGTGCGCTTGCCGCCTCTCTTTGAAGGCCCAGGCTGCCGTCCGAGACGTGCGGCTTTGCCTCAAAGAGCCGGAGCTCCCCGCCATCCCCGGGGACCCAATCTTCATTAAGGTACAGCAGCACTGTCACCATGCGCTGGTTGTCCGTTCCGCTGTAGCTGTCCTTGTGACAGTGGTACTCTGCGCCCTTTCTGTACGTGGCAGCCATGATATGCGGATGCACGCGGAGCCGTGGAGCTGAAACGCCACAAAGGGAACTGGCCTGAAGGAGCGCATCTGGTAAGCCGAGGAGGCGCTCGCAAACCTCCTGCAGCGCAGGCGGCACCACCTGCGCGGCTTCTTCGAAGTGGAGCCACACGGAGCGTGCCCCGACGTTGCAGGGGTCCTGAGAGGCCGTCACTTCCCCCTTGTCTTCGAGGGCTGTCAGCTCCCGCCGCGCTTCGCGCAGCAGCTCACCATCCATGGTCTCGTCTAGCACTGCCACGCCCAAGCCGTCGCCGAGGCTGCCTAAGCTGTCGCAGCGGCGGTCGCCCCAAAGCTCCTCCACGCATTCCTGCGAGACGGTGCGCTGAGCCCAGGAGCAGCGAAACTCTGCTGGGCTCCGCGTGAAGGACTCCAACGGTGTGATCACCCGGCTCAGCATCTTTTGCAAGTAGCGCTCGAACCTAGGCTTCATAAAGCAGCGCCAAGAAACATTGCATCAAGAGAAACGTGAGAGAGCTTCAGGGTCTGGGGTTGAAAGCCTGATATGACAAGTTCATGCAATCTTGATCGAGCACTTCTCGACGTACTGGATCCGAATGGCCGTAGTTTCTGGAATGCCAATGGAGTCACATGTCAATCAAGAACCAACATACTTTCCAAACATCCCGCGGTCCTCCACAGACAGCGAGGTTCTAATCTCAAAAGGCTCCCCAAGCAATTCTTCGTCAGTTTCTTGAGGGATGGCTGGTTCATCATAGGTGGACAGGGTGAACATTCGCCAAAGCGCTTCCCAACACTAACCCAAGTGGGCGCGCATATGACGCGCGGCCAAACCACAAGCGCGCAGAAGAACCCAGCTCTGGCCCGAGCATGGCCAAGGCGCATCTCGCGCACCTTGGTACGCAGCACCTCGTCGCTAGCAGACGCCAGCTCAGCCGGAAGAAGCTTTCCCTCGCCGATGATTTCCCCGCGGCCGCGGGCTAGGTGTTGCTCTGCCAGCTCCTGGTTTTGTCTCAGAGAAGGCTATAGGCATCGTTCAAGTTGACAAAGTACCAAGAAAGCCGCTTAGGCATTCATGGCTTGTTCAGCCAACAACCACTATCAAACAAAAGGTGCGCTCCTGGCAAGGACCAAGACGCGTTTTGGATTTTGCTGCAATGCATACGTGCTGCTTCCGGGCGGAACAAACACTCGTGCAAGCGTGGCCGCGCCCTATGCTACATCCAAAGTTGCCTGTCAGCCCAAAGTCAGGGTCAGCATAAACCAGTGGCTGCATTCCTTTGTGCAAGAATCAACCCTCGAGTCAAGAAGGTCCATCCCGCAAACCCGTCAACGTGCTCTCTGTCTCTCTCTCTCTCTCTCTCTCTCTCTGCACTCTCCAGCCTGGGCTCTCTTCTGCAGCTGTGGCACTGCACGTGCAATTTCATCAGGCTTGGCCTGGTGCATGGCTTGGACTTTCCAATTTCTCATGGGACCGCAGCACAAGCCACCTGGCCTTGTACCAATGCAACAATCAGAGCCTCTTTCTGGCGCGTCTCACACATAGTGATCAAACCCCGAGCCTGTGAATCGCGTGGCTGCGGCTGTGGTTGCTACACATAGATGGCTTGCCCTGGTAAATGGAGCCAAGGACCAAAACCTGCGGTCTGGTTTGATTTCGACCCCGCGGCTCCAACTTTGACCCCGGCAGAACTGCCCCGAAGGCCATGGTCACAAGCGGAGTCAAGGACTGGCTTGTCATCCCTCGGCTTTGCCCGCCTTGTAGGGCAGCTGCAGGGCCTCCGCCAGAGGCCCACGCACGTCTAGTGGTGCGCGGGCGATCTGCTGCTCCAAATCCCGCAGGCCAGACTCTGCCTCAGCGACAGGGACGCAGGGTGGGTGGGTGGGGGGCAGAAGTAGTACCTGAGCTTCTCAACTATCTTGCATCCACTCTCAAGAACATCAAGCAAGCTCGCCCATTGCATGAAAGAAACAGAATGAGTGAGTACAATGAGTACAAAGAGCGTGGCGAAGCCGGGGGGCTGGAAGCTGCGAATTCTTGATTGCGGGTAGAATGAAGGTGGAAGCCAATATCCTGTACTCTTGTGTTAGGCTCGTGCTTTGTGCTAGTCTTGCATTATCAAGTTCACAGCTTTCACTTTGCAAACGGCAGCGCTGTTGCGAGCTCACCCAAGGGTCAACATGTCCAAAGCTCCCACTGAATGATGTTCAAACGCATAACTAAGAGCGCAATATTGACATGCTTCGCATCAGGGAAAGCCAACGCTGCTTTCAGACCTGCCAATCCTAGATAAAACATAAGAAGCCGAAAAGTCGTTGGCATGATGATCATTGTCCATAAACACAAAAAAATCGCTTCGCGAGCTGGCGAGAACTGAATGTAGATTGCCCAAACACGGAAAACGGCAGCATTCTGCTGGTCTTCAGGCTCTTGGATCGCAAAACACTTGTGGTCGGATTTCGAACTCGGAATCCAACAAAAGAGCCGAGCCAACGTGCTCCTGCGGAATGGCCGGCCTTCTTGATGGCGCTGGAGATGTCTTCTTCTTCCCGGGGCAGCAGCAGCATTTCTCGCAAATCCCCGGCCAAGTCCTGCCAGGTTCGAGCTCCAGGCACCAAGCTACTTCCACACCAGCTAAGGACCTGCCTGACCTGACTTCAACCACATAGGCGATGCATCGGTCCATCTTTTCGGCTGACCCAAGCTGCGTTTTACATCCCTAGCCTTCAACTCTGCACAGTTCTGGCTGCAGAGGCGTACCCCGAGCTTCATGAGGATTACGCCTTTCTGCCCTTGTGGCAGGCCGAAGCGCTGGAAGATAGGAGCCTGGTAAGCGCGAAATTCTCAGGCAAACGCCAGAAGAGCACTGCTTTGTTAGAAATACTAACTTGTTCGGACTGGGGAGGGTAGGGAAGTTTTGCTGTTCTTGCTCTCGCCTCATGGTCTGACTTGGGCCAGCAAAAAGGGTGCAAAGAAGTACCTCTTGAAGTACACAAGAAGAATACTGCTTTCAGCCGGGCCTGGATTGCTGCCGCGCGGGGGCCTAACTTGGTGAGATACCCCAGCTCGTCCTTGGCCTGCTCCTTCATTTGAAGGATCTCCTCCTGGAAAGATGCATCCTGGTAGGCTTCTTTGAGTGCCAGCAGCAACAGGAGGCAGTCCTCCTTCCTTGGCTGCATTTGTTACTGTGAACCCGTAATTTGCGGGCACATTCGTGGCTCAAGGAACAAACAGCGCGGTGCAGCGCACATAGGTTATGAGCCCAAACGCCCCCTGACAAAGGCCAGCCATGGACCCAGGCATGCGGAGAAGAAGGGCGAGATCGGTGGATGTCGCCGGCATGGGCATCCTGGTGGCTGAGCCGGAGGGGGAGGTCACCACAACCGGTGAGGCCGCGGACGGGGTGACCGACGGCGAGGACCGGGGGAGGGAAACGGGTAGGCCGGTGGAGGTGAACCCGTTTTGGAGCGAGAAGGCGAGGGCGGAGGCGGAGCTTCAGGCCCACAGGCCCAGGGATCTCCCAAGGGTGCTCGAAGGGTCGGAGGAGAAGGGGCTTGGAGATCAGGAAAGTGGCAACATCCCGAGACGGTGAGTAGCGGGAGGCCGGAGTATTGGGAAGAAGTGAAAAGGAGCCTGCAAGAGGACCTTGAGAAGGAAGCGGATGTCGCGTGGAGAAGGGAGCAGCAGGGATGGTCGTCGGGCTCCGCTTGGAGGCTGGCCGCCAGAAGCTCGTGAAGGAGATCGTCGGGAGCTCATCGAGGACGAGGGCATCCCTCAGAAGCCCATGGAGGGTGGCATGAGGATCGAGGTCAAGGGCATCCTTCGGAAGCTCATGGAGGGTGGCATGAAGACCGATCGAGGGCATCCTTCAGAGGCTCATGGAGGGTGGCGTGATGATCAAGGTCGAGGGCATCCTTCGCGAGCTCATGGAGGGTGGCATGATGACCGAGGTCGAGGACATCCTTCGGAAGCTCATGGAGGGTGGCGCGATGATCCAGGTCGAGGGCATCCTTCGGGAGCTCATGGAGGGTGGCATGATGACCGAGGTCGAGGACATCCTTCGCAAGCTCATGAAGGGCACCCAGATGATCAAGGACGAGGGCATCTTTCAGAAGTTCATGACGGGTGGAAGGGAGGCCAGGCCCGTCGTGATCGGGCAGGAGCTCCAGGAAAAGGGCATGCCGGGTCGGGTCGGCATGAAAAAGGAAAGGAAGGTGAGGTTCCGCGAGGAAGGCGCCCGATCTATGGAGGTGGTGGAGCCCGAAGTGGAAAGGGGGTTTCTCGAGATCGCGGAGAAGGGGGCCGAGAGGGAAGTGGGCATCGTCCTTCGGTGCCGGGTGAAGGCATACCCCCAGGAGGACGTGGAGGTGCTGGATCCTCGGAGGTGAACACGACGGGCAAGGAAGCGAGGGCATCGGCGAGGGCAGGTTTCAGACCAATGGAGCTCCACATGGTGTGGAACCCAGCAACGAAGGTGTGGGTTCCGGAGGGCAACCTGCCAGAAGGCCTGAAGTATGAAGATGATG